GACTGTTGTTTTCCTCCTGATGTGGCTGTACAACAGCTTCGGGTCAGTCTTTACTTTTGATGCTATGTCATTTTCATATTGTCTCTGAGCCTCCCTTCTTATCTGTGTGTGTGTGTGTGTGTGTGGTGTGTGTGACTCAACAATCAATATTTGCACCAATAACTCATTACAGTTGTGACCGGGTGTGGAAGTGTGAATTGCTCATTACTCTATAATTTGTTCATGATTGTAGCCAAAGTATAAACGTAAGTAACCATTCTACAGAATTCATTACCTTTGTAACTTGTGAGCTCATTACCTTTGTACCTAGTTCAGCTATCAAAACTTTGGGGGCCCAGTCCCTGGACCCATTACGTACCTCTGTAATCTGTAAATACCTTTGTAACTTGTCATGATTGTGACCAGACTTACCTGGAGTTCATTACCTTTGTAAATTGTGAGTTCATTACCTTTGTAAATTGTGAGTTCATTACCTTTGTAAATTGTGAGTTCATTACCTCTGTAACTTGCTCAGCTATCAAAACTTTGGAGTCCAGTCCCTGGACCAATTATGTACCTCTGTAATCTTTTGACTACCGCCCACAGGATGGGTATGGGGTGCATAATAAACATATTAAACTAACGTAAACGATGCCTGGGAAAAATTCAAAACAATGTTCACTACCATCCTTGATAATATTGCACCAGTTAAAGAGGTTAGGATTAAATGAAGAACTGAACCCTGGATGACTATTGAGATATTAGATAATATGAAATTCAGAGACCAGTTGCTAAAAAGATTTAAGGCAAACAGACAGGATATTGCAGCACTAAATGAATTCCAAAGGATGAAGAACAGAGTGCAGAGACTTATAAAAGGCGCAAAGGCAAGGCACTATTGCTCAAAAATCGAAGAGTACAAGAATAACTCTAGAAAACTCTGGCAACTAAAACAGTTGGGGTATAGCCATAAACCCGAAGATAGATCTAACAGTTGTGATGAATGGTTTGAAAAACCGACAAGTTGAAGATTGAGACACTTATGCAGCATATAGGAATCTTTATTCAGGAAACGTTTCGCCACACAGTGGCTTCTTCAGTCCAATACAAAGAGGAAGGCATAAGGAGAGGAGGAGAACGAGGTAATCAGTCCCTCAACCTGGAGCCGATGTGTTCAGTCCATCAATCTTGTAGAATGTACAGCATAGGGCCGTAGGTTGAGGGACTGATTACCTCCAGGTTGAGGGACTGATTACCTCCAGGTTGAGGGACTGATTACCTCCAGGTTGAGGGACTGATTACCTCCAGGTTGAGGGAATCTGATTACCTCATTCTCCTCCTCTCTTATGCTTCCTCTTTGAAATGGACTGAAGAAGCACTTGTGGCGAACGTTTCCTGAATAAAGATTCCCATTAAGCTGACAAGTGTCTCAATCTTACAACTTGTCGTGTTTTTCAATCCATTCATCACAACTGTCAGGCCATGCAGTCATCCATGGGATCATCGTTACAAAGAATTCTTCATCACTTTTTATCAACCTTTGGACGAAAGACCTACTTCGACTAGTGATGTACCACTATGACCCGCATCCGCTGCTTCACCTCACATCACTACAGTATTTAAGCCACGTCTACGCCCTATCTGTAACATTCTACAAGATTGATGGGACTGAACAACATCGGCTCCAGGTTTGAGGGACTACTGAGTATACCTCATTCCTCCTCCTCTCTTATGCCTTCCTCTTGATGTATTCGGACTGAAAGCAACTGTGTGGCGAAACGGCTTTCCTGAATAAATATTCCCCATATGCTGATAATGTCTCAATCTTCACTTGTCGGTTTTTCCAAACCATTCATCACAACTGTCAGACACTGCAGCTTCATCTGGGATCTTGTACAAAGTATCTTCAACACTTGTTCAAACCTTTGGACGAAGACCTACTTCGACTAGTGGATGGTACCACTATGACCCCGCCTCCGCCTGCTTCACCTCACATCACTACAGTATATAAGCCACGTCTACGGCCCTATGCTGTACATTCTACAAGATTGATGGACTGAACACATCGGCTCCAGGTTGAGGGACTGATTACCTCATTCTCCTCCTCTCCTTATGCCTTCCTCTTTGTATTGGACTGAAGAAGCCACTGTGTGGCGAAACGTTTCCTGAATAAAGATTCCCATATGCTGCATAAGTGTCTCAATCTTCATCTAGATCTAACAGTACTAAATGTCGATAACATGGTATGCCACGAAACAACTAAGTGCCAAATTGTTTTAATTCCTACTACACAACTGTCGCATCAACACTAGCTGCATCAAATACCTTTAACACAGACTCTGATAAGTTTAAAACATACTATACCAATAAAGGAGTAACCCCAAACAGTTGTCAACTAATAAGTGTATCTCATGACTTTGTGCAAAAAGAACTAAGCAGGTTAAATCCAACTAAAAGCACCGGCCCTGATAACATCCCGTCTATTCCTAAAAGATGGTGCCTCTGAATTGCCATTCCCCATTGCTCACATAATAAATTTGTCCATCACCACTAATACCGTACCAGAGGGGTTCAAGGAGGACAGAGTTACTCCTGTCTTCAAGAAAAATAGTAGGTCTGATGTCAGCAACTATAGGCTTGTTAGTATACTCAGTATATCCAAGTAGTTAAGTATCTTAATGACAACATTCTTCACAGTTACCAATCAGGCTTTTGGAGCTCTTACTCAACTGATACCTCCCTAATTAATCTGATGGATTACATGAGAACTGAAATGTCGATTGGGAACCTCCTATGTATGGTAACTTAAGACTTGAAAAAGGCCTTCGATACTGTCAACCACAATATACTAAGTAAGAAACTTCAAGCTATCAGCATAGGTTCCAAAGACTGGTTTAAGTCCTATCTTAGCAATAGGAAACAAATTGTCAAAATCAACAAAACAGAATCAGAACCCCTGCCGGTAGAATGTGGAGTTCCCCAAGGTAAGATTTTGGGTCCCTTATTATTCTTATGTCATGTAAATGATGTGCCCATCAGTGTCAAATGCAAACTCCTACTGTATGCGGATGACAGTGCTCTGTTAGTGTCACGTAAAGACCCATAAGATATAGGTAATGTAATAGCACTAGACCTGGAATCCTGCAGCAAATGGTTAGTAGATAAACTATCATTACACCTCGGGAAAGCTGAAGCCATACTCTTTGGCACGAAACAAAAACTGAGAAGGGTAAATAATTTTAATGTCCGGTGTAACGGGGAACCCATCACTTCAGTTTCCTTAGTAAAATATCTGGGAATCCCCTTTGACCCATGCATGTCAGGAGAACTGATGGGGAACAGTGTAGCAAGGAAAGCGAATGCCAGACTGAAGTTCCTCTATAGACAAGCACAGTGTCTACCTACTGAGGCTCGCAGGCCCTATGTCTAGCCCTTATACAATGTCATATGGACTACGCTTGCTCTTCATGGTACTCTGCCTTGACAAAAGAACTGAAAGATAAACTGCAAATTACCCAGAACAAAATGGTAAGATTCATCCTGGACCTGGGTCCAAGAGAACACGTAGGCCAGGATGAATTACAGCAATTGGATATACTGAATGTTGAAGACAGAGTAAAGCAACTGAAGTTAAATCAAGTTTATAAAATTGCTCACAGTGTCCGGAATATCTTCCTGCTAAATTTGTCAAGGCTGGGAACCGAAGCAATCATAGCACTAGAGAGAGAGAGCACAACTTTGTAGTGCCTAGTCAGTGGCCAGGCTTCAAACACCTTTTATTGTACAGCAATAAAGGAATGGAACAGACTGCCTGCACATGTCAAAGCCAGTCATAGCATGAACCAGTTCAAGAAAAGTGCCAAAAGGTACCTAGTGAATGTAGCGACAGAAAGGAAGAATAATTTTTTATTTGTTTAGCTAACACTCATGTAAATGCAAATAACTCTTTTTACCTTAAGTATATATCCTTTATAGTATAATAATAAGATATTATATCCTTTATAGTATAATAATAAGATATTATATCCTTTATAGTATAATAATAAGATATTATATCCTTTATAGTATAATAATAAGATATTATATCCTTTATAGTATAATAATAAGATATTATATCCTTTATAGTATAATAATAAGATATATCCTTTATAGTATGATAATGAGGTATGAAAAGGACCCCAATGGAAATAAGTCACTCTGTCTGACTTTTTTGGGGGGTTATCCCAGGTTCTGTACACATATGCTGCTATGTATGATAATCTATGTAACTGTATTTGTGTATACCTGAATAAACTTACTTTACTCACTCTTTTTCTTCGTTTCTAAGTTGTTCAGGGCCACCAAAAGCTGGCGCTAAATTAAGTCCGAACTCCCTGATGTCCTGGCAATTGTTTTTTTTTTTTTCCCAAATATAGGCGAAAAACAGAAAGGAAACAAGTTGTATTTTTAAAATCAAACGGAACATGATTTTTCCAATTTAGATCAGGTAGATCCCAGTTTTATACACTAGCAGAGCCATGCGTCTTCCTTTCTGAGTAAGCATGTTTGCACTCGCTAAGACCGACGCTGAAGTTCTTTTTTTTATTTTGTGGATGTCTATGGGGCCACTGCTAGTTTACCTTCTTCTCTGTGTGCTCATAACAATTATTGTCCAAAGCTGGGCGATAAATGGAAAAGGAACAGGAGTTTCTTTTGCAAATAAAAACAGGAGTCCCAATTAGGTCCGATCCCCTCCCCCCAATTCTAATACTTCTTGTCTAAGGGGTATTATTATATAAATGTTAAATATCCGCAGAGTGGAAAAATAAAGCTGATGAACAGTGCCCCTTCTTCAAAGTGCTCACTGAGCAGAATAATGACAAACGTCCCAGAGAGAATGGGGAAAATTTGTCACGGATGTTCCGGCGACAGTGAGAGTCCATACCCCACGAAAGCTTGCAAAGAAGTCTTTAAATGCTCTTCATAATCAGGGGCTTTCTCTAAAGTATGTCAATAATGCTACCTTTATACTTTAATGTTAATCGTATACCGTACTTTTTAAAAATATAAAAGTTTTCCGTACTCTGGGAAGCAGAGCTCAATACGGTGCAAGTTACAGTGGCCCTCAAAAATCCAACAGCAACAACCTGCAGACACGTGCACTCATCACTGTAAGCATATTTTATTAACCTGGACAAAAAGCTATTGGGGACGAGGTTGTAAAACCGACAAGTTTATAATAATATGCTGTGGTAGAAGGAAATTTTTTACTGAGATGATATTTTACTTGGAAATCAAAAGAAATTTTGTTTTCAATCTGCCAGTATTGTATTTATTAAGAACCTTATTTCTAAGGGTTACTGAATTTTCATGATTTCGTACATATTTTGAAGAGTATGACTATTATATATCATTTAATTACAAGTAGGTAATTACTGAGAGCATTAGTGCGTGGAGGAGTGCATATCTCAATATGTATTTAGATACAAGTTTACACAAGTTTTAGACGATTACACTAAAATTGTTGAACGAAACATTTGCAGAGAATCTTAAGTGTGATGTTTCGCCAACTAGTAGCTTTATCAGTCCAATGAAAATAAGTCACTTTGATGTTTTGGGTTATCCTAGGTAATCTACAAATATATTACTATGGAGTTTACCTGGAGAGAGTTCCGGGGGTCAACGCCCCCGCGGCCCGGTCTGTGACCAGGCCTCCTGGTGGATCAGAGCCTGATCAACCATACATTACATATGTATGATAATTTGTGTAACTGTATTTATGTGTACTTGTACGTAAATAAACTTACTTAATACTGAAGACAGTAGTTTGAGATGATCAGCCCCTCAGCCTTGAAAAACCCCTCAAGGGAGGTTCCTTGATGATGGTGAGGGGCTCTTGATCTAGGGAATTGGATCTGTGCTCCAGTTCCCTGAATTAAACCTGAATACCTTCCATCCCCCCCACAGGCACTGTATAATCCTATGGGTTTAGTGCTTCCCCATTATAATAATAATAATCAGCCTTGAAAGGTGTCAGTCTAAATCCTGATGAATCAAGACTGTAAGACTGAACACCTCCTTTCAAGACTAAGGTGCTGATCTTCTCAAGCTTCTTAATACATATCTACCACTGTCTCTAGTAATACTCTCTGTCCTGGATTAATCTAGCAACTGGTTGGTAAAACGTTCCCACAGGAAAGATACCCAAGAGTTGCACATGTGTCTTATTCATCTCCTTGGTTTTGCATATCATTAATATATATTACAAAGATTGTTGTAATAATAGATAGTATGGAAATACTAACATGCTAAAATGATAAAGGCGCACACAACAGTTGGAAACTTTGTACATTTTTTCAAATGTAAAACAAAAAAGAAGATCTACATTTCTTTACATACTTTCAGATGTTGAAAAAACGTATATATACGTTTGGACCGTTTAAGGGTTAAATGCCCACAGAACGTGTGAAATGTTTGATATGTTTTATGCACTAATTGATTAGCCAAAGGTTATGGCGAATTGAAAGTCAGTTTTGATTTGCACTGCATCCCCTATCCAGTTACTTCTGCTAGCCTGTAACATAGGTCACACAACACATTAAGATAGAAGCATTCATCCTTTTCTGCTTGAAGAAAGAAGGGGAATTTGGACCTGTTGTAGTGTCTACAACCCTACAAATGCAAATACATTACATATTTCTTTTCTGCGGTATACAGGAAATGGACTGAAACGTTTTCTAATAAATGTGTCCTAGTGTTTACTTACATGTTTTTCTAAACCACATATAATCATGTAATACAATATTGTTAGGCACAAAGGAAGCCACTAGCATGCTGTGCATTTTGGACAAACTAATTCTAATGCTTAAAGACTATTTAAGACTGATGTGTTTTTATTTTGTTACATAAACTTTTTTTTTATTTTACAGTAATCATTATAACTAAATGGTGATGAAGATTAAGAACAAGATGAAGAAAGATACAAATGTGATACACAAAAATAAAAAGTTTGGAAAGAAGAAGAAAAATGTTTCAGAGATGAGTGTTGATGATATGTTTTCAATGATTCAAGAAGAGGATGACTTGGTAAGTCATGAAATGTATACCTGTTAAGAACTTGGAGTAGTTGTTTGTTTGTTTCATTTGAAAGTATTATACTGCAAGTCAGATTCTGACAGTGATAAGTATACTGGAACAAAAGATAGGATGGGAAGTGCAGGGTAAACTGCTGGGAAAGTCGGGACACTGTAAGCATTAGTAGAATATTTTATTTAACTATTAAGTTAGTTCTGATCCTACACACTACACTAATTTAGTATTAAAAAAAAATTGTTTCTGCTTTTTATCAGCATCACTTTTGTCTCTTTGTTGCTCTAGTACTGAAGCTGCATACTCTGCTATGTTAAATATGCAATGATTCAGAAACATGTTTAAAACAAATTGTAATTAAGAAAATAAATCATTCTAATAGTCATAAATATACAAATTTCTAATTTAGTATTTTTTTATCTTCAAACTGAAGTAATGTATCAATTTTTTGTGTATTAGTACTGCAGTACAGTGCAAACTGTGTTTATGTTTCAGCATTACAGTTCTTTTCTTTATGCATAATCCTTAGTATGCTTTAAGCTTTTAACCCTTTGAGGGTCGACAGGCCCTCTCCGAGACTCGTCCTCAGGGTCGGCCAAATTTAAAAAAAAAAAAAATTCTTTTGAAAAGATAGAGAATCTTTTCACGATCATAATGACACCAAAAGTATGAAATTTGATGGAAAACTTATGGAATTATGCTCTCGCGAAGTTAGCGGTCTCGGCGATGTTTACGCATCGGCGATTTTGCCCACTTTGAGCCCTATTTTTGGCCAATTCCACTGTACTAGTCGACAAAAAACATGAATATTTCGCTAGAACTCCATTTTTTCTATCGAATGAATGCAAGAAACCACCCATTTACCAATTTCAACTATCCAGTACAGTGGTCAGAATTTAGCAATTTTGCCAATTTCACACAAATTTCAAAAGATGCCAATTTCCGAATAGGGTCCAGAATAAACAAGAAAGACATTCCTGTTCATTAGTCACATCTCAAGGCCCCTCTTACATTCTTTTGCTTTCCACTTTGAATTTTTATTCTCACAAAAAATTGAAGATTTACTGTTATGCAGACTACTGCATTAGTGTAAAAAATGGTATAAATAATATTGGCGCACTTGCAAAAGAATATTAGACTCACCAGTTGACGTGTATTGGACGCTTGGCATGATTTGTTTACTTTTGAACTTTGGTAAAAATTGAACATTTCTGCTACTTTGAGCTCAATTTCAAGGTACTTTTCATTGTAAAATCAGTCAAAATCATCTCAATTTCTGTAATATGTCTTCCATTCTATAAAATGAGACCAAGAAAACTAGAATACAGCAATAAATACCATACGAAAATACAGTGCAAAGCCGCTGTTTTATTCCAAAAAAATGGTCAAAGTTTTTTTTTTCTCATTATGCACTGTGTGTTGCAGGATTTTTTTTATACTGTGCACACTGACCACATAGACCCATTCTTTCATATGTAGGTCTACCAGCTTTCTCCCACTAGATTTGAAGGCGCTAGAATTTAGGCGTACTAGTACATCAAAAACCCTGGGTTGTAAGCCGTACTAGTACGGCCAAAACCCTCAAAGGGTTAACTAATTATGGCATTAACCATTATACTGTATCTATACTGTCATTCATTTTTTTTTTAACTGATCTGTCCCTATCATTATAGTTGGCTCAACATTTGCCTTTTCTTCTGTGCTGGACAGTAGTTACTCTGTCCCCCCTTCCCTATTCCTACTTATTAGTGATCTTCACTGTACATCAAGGGCTATCTTCAGTATGTAAATTTATGATTTCAGTTTGCTCTCTTCATATATTAGGCATAGTTCTTCTGCACTAATTACCCAGTCTGGTACTTAATACTTCTGCTCTCATTCTATTGTTCTGTATTATGAGTGTGAAACAGAGGCCGGTTAAAGTTTTGGACCAGCTGGATTACTGGTCTTCTCTCTTTGTCTTATAAACATACTTATACATTCTTTCAGTATGCACTTACCTTCTGTCGCTTGATATTTCTTAGTGATATAACATGTATTTTCTTGCTAATTTAGAAGGCCTGGTCCAAAACCAGGGTGTGGGGGCGATCTTTTCTTAAATCATTACGTCAGTCTGAATTCCATTTTTCTGTAGTTAATGTGCAACTTGACTCGTATTCATTTCTATCTGTTTACATAGTTGTGTCATTTTCATAGAATTAATTACCCTTTATTTTTTTTTAGTTTCTCCATTAGAACACTGATGCAGCAATACACAGCCTCTCCTCACTTAGCGACGTACTCGTTTAACGACGACTTGGATTTACGACAGGCTCTCTGACCAGTATGCATATCTTAATAATGTATATTAGAGCTGAATTCCTCTATTTTGTTTATTACAGTATACAGTACACTACTGTATAAACATTTAATAATATGCTAAAAATGTTATAAATGGTGTAAAGGTGACATTAAAACAATATCAAAGATGGTTGACACAAACCCACTACCATTATAGTATGCTCATTGTTTAGCGTCAAATTCGTCTACCAAGTCGGTAAACGAATTTAGTCTTAGGAGCAGAACTCTGTTGTTAACCCCTTTCAGGGTCCAAGGCCCAAATCTGAAGTGGTGCCCCAGTGTCCAAGAATTTTCAAAAAAAAAAAATTTGTTATTTTTTCTTATGAAATGGTAGAGAATCTTTTTGTGAAGGTAATAAAACGAAAAGTACGAAATTTGATGGAAAATTGACGAAATTATGCTCACGAATTTTGATGTGTCAGCGATATTTACGAATCGGCGATTTTGGTGACTGACTCCCATTTTAGGCCAATTATGTTATTCCAGTCGACCAAATTCTTAGCTATTTCACTAGTATTACTTCTATTCTATCGATTGAGCACAAGAAATTGCCAAGTCAACTGTTTCAACTACAAAATAAAGTGATCGGAAATTGGAAATTTGGCCAATTTAACACAAAGTTCAAAATATTCTAATTTCAAAATAGGGTTCAGAATAAACAATGTAGGTATTCCTGGCACTGAACTAACATATCCTCTGTTCATTAGTTACATTTTGAGGCTTTACAAATAAATTCCATTTTTATTTTTTATTCACATAATGAATTTTTATTAACACCAAAAAATAGAAGATTTACTGTTATGCAATATTGTAATAATTGTATAAATATCATCACCCCATTTGTGAATGAATATTAGACCCACCAGCTGGCGTGTATTAGACGTGTGAGGTCGTTTGTTTACTCTTGAACATCGGCAAAAATTTAATATTTCCGCTACTTTGAGCTCAGTTTCAAGCCATTTCCAGTGCTAAAACCAATCAAAACCATCTCTATTTCTGTAATATGTCTTCCATTCTATCAAATGAGACCAAGAAATCGCAAATACAACTATAAAAAACATACGAAAAAACACTGCAAAGTTGCTGTTTTAATCGAAAATCACTGTCTCAGTTTTTTTATCTCATTATACACTGTGTGCTGCAGGATTTGTTTTATGTGGTGCACACATACCACATAGTTGTATTCTCTCATATCTAGGCCCCAAATTTACCACTCACAGTTTATCAGAGTGAGCTGAGCTCATGGCGTAGATCTACGGTTTGGTCCCTGAACGTAAAGCCGTAGATCTACGGGACTGACCCTGAAAGGGTTAAAGGAGGAGAGGCTGTAATATACTGAGTTTTGTTACTTGGAATAGTCATTGAATCTAGGTACTGAGTTATTTCTGTTGAGTGTCACCTAATACTGTAAAAAATTGTACTACCTGAGAACCCATTTGACTGAACTTTTACCTAACTAATTTTTCTTATTGTCATGTACCATGCTTCACGAAATCGTAATGACACAATTGCAAACAAACCATACCACGGGCGGGGATAGAACCTGCGATCAGAGTGTCTCAAAACTCCAGACTGTCGCATTAGTCACTGGACCAGCTAGCCACAATAAGATTTGTCCAACTAGGTATATTTCTACACCATAGGAAGGTTAGCATAGGCACCACTGTGACCACAAAAAACTTGCATTTGTGGTCACAGTGGTGCCTATGCTAACCTTCCTATGGTGTAGAAATATACCTAGTTGGACGAATCTTACTGTGGCTAGCTGGTCCAGTGGCTAACGCAACGGTCTGGAGTTTTGAGACTCTCTGATCGTGGGTTCTATCCCCGCCCGTGGTATGGTTTATGTACCATGTTGTACTTTGATCTACTTACATATACATTTTTGTCATATTCATTGAATTAATTTTATTCTGTGTATATCTTTAATGTCTCTATTAGCATAAAAATTTCCCTTGGCTATTTTGGTATTAGTATATTTCCTCTTTTTGTTTCAGGTGGATAAAGAATCACCAAAAAGTCCAAGGAAGAAAATGGAAGGATTTAAGAAGGCAAAAGACAAGAAGGTGAAAAAGAATCAGAAAAATGTGAAAGGTAATATTTTATACAGTACATGTATTAAAGGCAAAAATAAAGAATTTTTAGCCAGGTTTGGTATATAGCAGGAAGTATAGTTAGTCTCTAGATTGAAGTTATATTTCCTTTTGCATAATTGTTTTAGTTTAGTTTGGTAGTTTGTGGCTCAAGTGGTAGCATGTTTGGCTCACAACTGAGTAACCCAGGTTTGATCCTAGTTCTAGTGGAAATATTGGTTATATTAGCTGGTTGGTTATATTAGCCATATGTTGTGGATCAGATCCCAGGGATGTGTTAGTACGTATATAGTGCCTTAGAAAGGGATGAGCTTTGAAATGAAATGAGATAGGATAGTAGCCCTTAGCCTGTAAATTCCCTGGTGTTGAATATATAATTAGAGTTACAGAACAGATTTTCCTTATCCCCTATGATACAGAAGTTTACTATTAGGGTTAGGCAACACTGAAAGTCATCTGGTGTGGCATATATTTTCTGCTACATTAAGTTTAAACTTTAATAAAGTTTTTTTTTTTTTTTTTTTTTTTTTTTTTTTTTTTTTTTTTTTTTTTTATTGAACCAACCATATCCCAAGGAGACAGGGTGACCTAGAAGGAAAAATGAAAGTTATTCTTTTTAAATTTAGTAATTTATACAGGAGAAGGGGTTACGAGCCCCTTGCTCCCAGCATTTTAGTCGCTTCTTATGTTTAGTGAATTTTTTTTTTTCAGCAAACCAGCCATATCCCACTGAGGCAGGGTGACATGTGATATAAAAGCATATTTCACATTATACATGTATATTGTATATATATACTACTCATGAAAGAGGGAGAAGGTACCTACGGATTGACAGAGAGCATGCATAGTTCCTTTGTATAAAGGCAGAGGGAGTTAAGGAGAATGCAAGAATTACAGGGAAATAAGCCTGTTGAGCATACCTGGTAAGGTGTATGGTAGTTTTATTGAAAGAATTAAGGGTAAGACGGAGAGGAGTATTGCAGATGAACAAGGAGGCTTTAGGAAGGGTAGGGGATGTGTAGACCAAAAATGTTTACATTGAAGCATGAAAGTGAATAGTATTTAGATAAGGGTAAAGAAGTTTTTGTTGCATTTATGGATTTGGAAAAGGCATATGATAGGGTGGATCGGGGAGCATTGTGGCAGATGTTGCAAGTATAAGTTACTGAAAGCAGTGAAGAGTTTTTTATGAGAATAGTGAGGCTCAGGTTTGGGTATGTAGGAGAGAGGGAGATTTTTTCCAGTAGGCCTTAGACAGAGATTTGTGATGTCACCATGGTTGTGTAACATATCTGTAGATGGGGTTATAAAGGAAGTGTTGGGGAGAGGTGTGAGATTAAAGGGTAAAGAATCTAACAAAGTGGGAGCTGTCACAGTTTTTTTTTTCCTGATGACTGTGCTTTTTGGAGATTCTGAAGAGAAGTTGCCAAGGTCAGCAGAACAGAATTCTTCCTCTGTAAGTCATACGTGTCTTTTTTCTTTTTAGGTTACCCTGCCTTGGTGGGATATGGTCGGTTTGTTGAAAAAAAAAAACATGAAAGAAGAAAATTAAAAGTAAACAATGAAAAAAGCAAGGTGATGAGGGTAACAGAAAATTTAGGTAATAAAAGATTGGAGGGAGGGAGTGTGGAGGAAGTGAATGTATTCAGATACTTGGGAGTGGACTTGTCAGCAGATGGTTGTATGAAAGACATAGTGAACCATAGAACTGACGAGGGGGGAGAAAAAGGCGAGTGATGCATCGAGGCATCTGTGGAAATGAAGAATGTTATCCATGGAAGAAAAAAGGGAAATGTATGAAAGTAGATTGGTGCCATTGCACCAATCTACTCTCATACATTGAGGTTGTTGAGGTGGTTCAGACATTTAGAGGGAATGGAACAAAGTAGGATGACCTGGAGGGTGTATGAATCTGTAGTGGAGGGAAGGCTAGGTAGGAGTTGTCCTAGGAAATATTGGAGGGAGGGGATAAAGAAGGTTTGTGTGTGTGAGGGGCTTAGACAGCCAGCAAGTGTGTGTGAATGTGTTAGGAGTGAGTGAGTGGTTTTTATGACTTAACATGCTGTTGGAGCATGAGCAAGATAACATTTATGAAGGAATTCAGGGAAATTGATTAGCTTGATTTGAGTCCTGGAGGTGAGAAGTACAGATTCTACACTCTGAAGGAGGGGTGGGGATATTTGCAGTTTATGAACTGTAGTATCAGCACCCCTTCGGCAAGACATTGATGGAGTGAGTGATAATGAAGTGTTTCTTCTCTTTTTGGTCACTCTGCCTCAGTGCAAGATGGCCTGTTTGCTGAAAAAAATTGCACTTATTTAATTTGTATTCTTATGTATCTTTCTGTAAAAAAAATTCTAGATGATGATGATGAAGATATTGATGAGGATGAGGATATCTCTGATGTTGCTAACATGAGCCGCAAAGAATATCTCGAAAAACTGAAGAAGAATGACCCAGAGTTTTATTCTATGGTAATGCAGTCATCTGATGTAATGGCCCTTCACAGCTCAGATGAAGAGAATGATCTTTTAGAAGAGGAAAGTGATGATGATGATGATGATGATCCAGAGAAAGGTGGTAAAGTGTTCCAGCCACCATCAGAATTAGAGGTAAGTCTGGTTTCTTGCAACACTACATTGCCATCCTGAAGTCTGATTTATATTTTTACTCCCAAATTACCCTTGCAGTGACACTGTTCCTATTCTTTAACCTATATTTTTTTCTTTTCACTTGCTCGCTTGTCTAACTATTTCTTCCCTTCTGTCTGCCCTGATGATTTAATTATCATTCTTTCTTATTCTTATATGTGAGTGGCAGTAAGTTGTGGCTACCTTGCTTGTCATATAAAGTCAAGTAGCTGTGGAACTATGGCCAACATGTAAAATGACTGAATATTCTGAAGACTCTACATGAAGCCTTCTCCTCAAGAAAGGCATGGTCTCAGAGAAAGTAAGATATCACAGAGATTAATAAAACAGTTTTCTTTTTTATTGTACAGTATTAAAAAAATTATGCCAATATGTTTTTTCTATTATGGTTCATGAATCCTTATTGAGATGTGTGTTGTACTTAGCAGTCCTCCCTAGTATTTTTTTATAGATTTTAAATTAATATTAAATTCAGAAAAATTGGCAAGTAGCTGAATAATCTAAACTGTATCATGGGAAAGAGGGGGTAGAAAAAGTATATCTAACACATTATTTACATTATCCATATTCACCTGTTTCCAGACTAAGGTTTGCATCAGATTTATATTTCCATGAACATTCAGGAATGTGTTACACTTCTATTGCTTGACAACACTATAGGAGTGATACAAGTGGTCAACAAACGTTGTAGAAATTGTGGCATCTGTTTCAAAGACATTACTGGCTATGTATGAAAGCCCTACCACATGTAAATCTTGCTGCTTTTTGGTACATGTGAAAGTTCTTGTGAAAGAGTTAAGAATATCATTTTGGATTCAAATGGAGCCCTAAAGATGTCTTTCCAGATTTTCTGTTTTTTCTTCTTTCGACAAACCGGCCATATCCCACCAAGAAAAACAAAAGTTTCTCTTTAAATTTAGTAATGTATACAGATGGGGTTACTAGCCCCTTCCTCCCAGCATTTTAGCCGCCTCTTAAGACACCCATGGCTTACGGAGGAAGAATTCTATTCCATTTCCCCATGTATTTTTTTTATGGCTAATACATAAATAACTTTCACAGGTTGATAGCGATGAGTCTGATGGTGAGGAAAATGGGCTTCAGCAACGAGGTGATAATATTGTGACAAGTTCCATGGTTACTCAATGGGAGAAGGACTTGCAGGGTAACAGGTATGTGTAGTTTTGATGAAATTAAGACACATGTGCGACATCTGGGTATCTATTGTAAACGTTTCGCCATCCAGTGGCTTTATCAATACAAATTCCAAGACATAATTTGAAGACAATAGAACTATATACAGAAGATGAGGTAATCAGTCTCTCAGCCTTGGATACATCTACAATAAAGATACCCAGATGTTGCATGCGTGTCTTAATTTCATCTTGTCAGTATTGTATACCATTCTTGTACAATGTGTAGTTTTACCTATTTTAAAATAATTTTTTTCCCCATTAGTGTATTGCATTAATTAAGATGTAATTTAAAAGGTTCTCTGATATGTAATACTATAGATACTGACACATTACCATTCCTTAAAATTTATTTAAAAGAACACATGCTGCTGTACTTCAGATTAGCTATTTCACAGGCCTGTGAATACTTTTTTGGATGTGCAACAAGCATTTTTGGCTGCCATTGAGTCTCTTGGCAACAAAGGAAAAGAAGCTGAGACTACAAGCAAGTATAAAGTTGAGGGACCACAAAGTAAGTCTTAAATGCACTGTTGTTCATATTGATAATACTTTCACCATACTATGCAAATACAATATTAGGAAAAACTACATTATTAACAGACCGACCTTATATCATTGTGCCATGTCAGATGGCCTCTTCTGATGGAATCTTCAGCAACTGTGACACCAAAATGGGAGTGTCAAAGTTTTACTCCCTCAGTCTTCTCGGTGGTTCCCACCTTTCTGTTCTCACATAAAACATAATCTCTCCTTTATACATTTTTGCATTTATAAGTGGTATTGTATGTCGTAATTGGTAAAATTTGGGTAATTGGCATTAACTTAACCGAAATACTATACGTAGAGAAATTTACTTATCGCTCAGGGAGGTATTACCGTCCTGCCAAGTGAGTGTAATTTTACATGATGGTAGGATTGCTGGTGTCCTATTTTCTGTCTCATAAACATGCAAGGTTTCAGGTACGTCTTGCTACTTCTACTTACACTTAGGTCACACTACACATACATGTACAAGCATATATATACACACCCTCTGGGTTTTCTACTGTTTTCTTTCTAATTCTTGTTCTTGTTTATTTCCTCTTATCTCCATGGGGAAGTGGAATAGAATTCTTCCTCCGTAAGCCATGCATGTTGTAAGAGGCGACTAAAATGCCGGGAGCAAGGGGCTAGTAACCCCTTCTCCTGTATAAATTACTAAATTTTAAAAGAGAAACTTGTTTTTCTTTTTGGGACACCCTGCCTTGGTGGGATACGGCCGGTTTGTTGAAAGAAGAAGAAAATTTACTTATGTATATAAAGTGACTTACCAAAGTTGTCATTGGGAGAACAGGTTGCTGCTCTCATTGCATGCTTAATAATATCTCGCAAGATTGTTTTCTAGAAACATGTATTGTCTGCTATCAAATTTCCATTGACATTTATGCAAGGTACTCAAGTCTTTTCTAATATACCCCTCAAGGGAGGTTTCTTGACATTGGTGAAGGGCTCTTGATCTAGGGAATTGGATCTGTGCTCCAGTTCCCTGAATTGAGCCTGAATGCCTTCTATCCCCCCCACAGGCTCTGTATAATACTACGGGTTTAGCCCCCCCTCATGATTATAATAATAATAATAATTTTCTAATATACATACATCTTGCAACATTCTCCCTCTTTTACTTTTAAATCTTCCAAGACACAGTATATTACGTACTTGAAATAAGTTTTCTTAGTTGTAATATGATTTTACCCATTTCTTCAGTTTTCAATGCAGTAGTACGACTGTGTCTACGGAATGTGGCTCCAGCTCTAGCATCCATTCTTGATCTCAAGTCTCCTAATGATGATCCGACTAAAAGCAGGAGGTGGGGGAAGATGAGGAACTACATAAAGCCGTACCTGCGACATCTTGTTACGGTATAGAAAAAAATATTTTTACTGCATTGATTACATTACAACAACCTGGGCAAGATGTGTGTTGTCAGTGATTAGTAAAAGCTAATACATATATGTGTTTATGTGCCTATGATTTCACTTATTTCGTTACTCCACCCCTCCAATGCTTGCACTGGAGGGGTGGGGATATTTGCAGTTTGGAGGGGCATCTGAACCGTAGTATCAGCATGCCTCTTTCAAGACATTGATTAGTGTGAGTGACAGTGAAAGTGTTCCTTCTTTTTCGTGTCACCCTTCTGTGGTGGTAGAAGGCCGGCGTGTTAAAAAAAATATGTATATACATGTACAGTGGACCCCCGCATAACAATATTATTTCAATCCAGAAGTCTGTTTGGGTGCCGTTATAGACCGATTTTGTTCCCATAAGAAATATTGTGAATTAGATTAGTCCGTTTCAGACCCCCAAAAACACACCTACAAAAGCACTTACAAAAATACACTTACATAATTGGTCGAGTTGGGAGCTGATCGTTATGTGGGGGTCCACTGTATGTGTATATGTATGTGCTTATGGGAGATTCTAAAGAAAAATTGCAAAGGTTAGTGGATGAGTTTGAGAATGTGTGTAAAGGTAGAAAGTTGAAAGTGAACATAGAAAAGAGTAAGGTGATGAGGGTATCAAATGATTTAGATAAAGAAAAATTGGATATCAAATTGGGGAGGAGGAGTATGGAAGAAGTGAATGTTTTCAGATACTTGGGAGTTGACGTGTCAGTGGATGGATTTATGAAGGATGAGGTTAATCATAGAATTGATGAGGGAAAAAAGGTGAGTGGTGCGTTGAGGAATATGTGGAGTCAAAAAACGTTATCTATGGAGGCAAAGAAGGGAATGTATGAAAGTATAGTAGTACCAACACTCTTATATGGATGTGAAACTTGGGTGGTAAATGCAGCAGCGAGGAGACGGTTGGAGGCAGTGGAGATGTCCTGTCTAAGGGCAATGTGGTGTAAATATTATGCAGAAAATTCTGAGTGTGGAAATTAGGAGAAGGTGTGGAGTTAATAAAAGCATTAGTCAGAGGGCAGAAGAGGGGTTGTTGAGGTGGTTTGGTCATTTAGAGAGAATGGATCAAAGTAGAATGACATGGAAAGCATATAAATCTATAGGGAAAGGAAGGAGGGGTAGGGGTCGTCCTCGAAAGGGTTGGAAAGAGGGGGTAAAGGAGGTTTTGTGGGCGAGGGGCTTGGACTTCCAGCAAGCGTGCATGAGCGTGTTAGATAGGAGTGAATAGAGACGAATGATACTTGGGACCTGACAATCTGTTGGAGTGTGAGCAGGGTAACATTTAGTGAAGAGATTCAGGGAAACCGGTTATTTTCATATAGTCAGACTTGAGTCCTGGAAATGGGAAGTACAATGCCTGCACTTTAAAGGAGGGGTTTGGGATATTGGCAGTTTGGAGGGATATGTTGTGTATCTTTATATGTGTATGCTTCTAAACTGTTGTATTCTGAGCACCTCTGCAAAAACAGTGATAATGTGTGAGTGTGGTGAAAGTGATGAATGATGATGAAAGTATTTTCTTTTTGGAGATTTTCTTTCTTTTTTGGGTCACCCTTCCTCGGTGGGAGACGGCCGACTTGTTGAAAAAAAAAAAAACATAATGTTGAGGTGGTTCAGACATGGAGAGAGGACGGAATGAAATAGAATGACTTCGAGATTGTATAAATCTGTAGTGGAGGGAAAACATGTTAGGGGTTGGCCTAGGAAAGGTTGGAGGGAGGAGGTAAAGGAGGTTTTGTGTACGAGGGGCTTGGACTTTCAGAGAGCATGTGTGAGCATGTTAGCTAGGAGTGAATGAAGACAAATGATTTTTAGGACTATGTGCTGTTGGAGTGTGAGCAAGGTAACTTTTATGAAGGGAATCAGGGAAACCGACAGGCCGGACTCGAGTCCTGGAGATGGGAAGTATAGTGTCTGCACTCTGAAGGAGAGGGTGTGACTGTTGTAGTTTTATAACTGTAGTGTGAGCATGCCTCTGGGAAGGCAGTGATGGAGTGAATGATGAAAATTTTTCTTTTTCGGGCCACCCTGCCTTGGTGGGAAATGCCTGATGTGTTAATAAAATGCATACATATACGCACATTTTTATTTATGTAGAGTGATGAAAACCACTTGTCTTCATTCATTCCTATCTAAATGCTCAGAGAAACTTTCTGGACATTCATGCTCCTAAAACTCAAAGCTTCTTTTACTCCCCTCCCTCCAACCATTTCTTGGATGACCCCTTCCTTTCCTACCTTCCACTGCCGTATTTATGCACCCTCTTTGTCATCCTATCCTTCTCCATCCTTTACATGCTCAACCCACCTTAACAACCCCTCCTCAGCTCTCAGAATTACATCCTTAGTGATCCCATCTTTTTTTTTTCTTCACCTCTGATTAATGGAATGGGTGGCATTGGATTCCTTGGTGTGTCAGCCCTTAAACTAGCAGGCCAGTGCACTAACCATTGTACCATGCTAGTCTTTATGATTCTCCCAGTTAGTTACAGTACACTTATTTTATCTTTAGAAACCTACATTTGTTTTCATGTGTTTAGGAATATACCTAGTTGGGCAAATTTTATAGGCTGCCATGGTACAGTTTTTAGTGCACTGCTCTGCCAGTTTTAAGATTGGCTTGCCGTGTGTTCAAATTCCACCCATTCTGTAAGTAATCTTGAGATTTCAGATAACTCATCATTAATAATGATGTGATTTACATTTCATATGAGTGACATCTTCATACAAAGTAAATAGCTATAGAACTTTGCCTCATTCTGTCAGTGACAGCATGTTGATTTTGTTACATTCTCTATATGTGTTTTACTTGACACATTTGTTTGTAATGTACTGCTGGAAGTACTGTTCTTCAAGCTCATTTACTAGTTCTTTCTAGTAATGGCTTTTAAACTTTTGAGAAATCAATTTTATATTAGATATTTTACATGGCAACTAAAATGCCAGGAGCAAGGGGCTAGTAACCCCTTCTCCTGTATATATTACTAAATGTAAAAGGAGAAACTTTTGTTTTTCCTTTTGGGCCACCCCGCCTCGGTGGGATACGGCCGGTGTGTTGAAAGAAAGAAAGATTTTACATTCTTGTTGTTTATTGCTAGCTTAGCTGAGACATCAACTTTACCAGTATCGTGCCCTAAGAGGCCCTATGTGAATGGGAATTCACAAAGGTTTAATTTTAATTCCTTTGTCAATCATTTCTGAATATCTGTGTCTGGCTTCATACACAAGCATTCTATATTTAGCTTTAAATTACGTATTTAGAGAAATTTATGAGTATAGTAAGCCAGAGACAATCAAACTGGCTGAAGTTTCATATACCGTACGCAAGCTTAATGCTGTAGTAAATAATACTGACTTGTATTACAGTTGGTTATATACTAATTATATCTGTATAACTTAATATTTTTATAGTTTTGGCTTTATAGCTTTATCATATATATGACTAGTTAACCTTTTCACTGTCTCTCACATAGATCTACATTACTGATGCAATTGTTGCTCATTTAAATTTATGTTTTAAGCACAGCACCCTCTAATATGCCACTTATAAACTGAATAGTGTAGATCTTAATACTACTGATTGCAAAAAGGATTTAGGAGTTCTGGTTAGCAGGAATCTGAAACCAAGACAGCAGTGCATAAGTGTTCGCAATAAAGCTTAACAGAATCCTTGGCTTCATATCAAGAAGTATAAATAATAGAAGTCCTCAGGTTGTTCTTTGGCTCTATATATCCTTGGTTAGGCCTCATTTAGATTATGCTGCACATTTCTGGTCACCATATTACAGAATAGATATAAATGCACTGGAAAATGTACAGAGGAGGATGACAAAGTTGTTCCATGTATCAGAAATCTTCCCTATGAGGATAGACTGAGGGCCCTGAATCTGCACTCTCTAGAAAGGCATAGAATTAGGTGGGGATATGATTGAGGTGTATAAATGGAAAACAGGAATAAATAACAGGGATGTAAATAGCATGCTGAAAATATCCAGCCAAGACAGGACTCGCAGCACTGGCTTCAAGTTGGAAAAGTTCAGATTCAGGAAGGATATAGGAAAACACTGGTTTGGTAATAGAGTTGTGGATGAGTGGAACAAACTCCCGAGTACCGTCATAGATGCTAAGGCGTTGTGTAGTTTTAAAAATAGGTTGGATAAATACATGAGTGGGTGTGAGTTGGACCTGACTAGCTTGGGCTACCAGGTCTGGTGCCATGCTCCTTCCTTAAGTGGAAGTGACCTGACTAGGTGGTCATTGTTCTAGGCCGGGGGGCTGGCATGGACCTGCTTCACATGGGTCAGTAGGCCTGTTGCAGTGTTCCTGCTTTCTTATGTTCTTATGTTTTTATTAGCAGTACATTTTGACTTAGACATGAGAGAGTGGTTCTGTGAGGTGAATGTGCACAGTATAAAAAAATCCTGCCCCATGTGGTGCATGATAGGAAAAGCAAACCTCTGACCTTGTGTTTGGTTGACAATAGCAACTTTGAGGTGTTTGCAATAGTAATTTTTATAGTTCAGTTGGCCATTTCATGTTAATGGATGATTTTCATCAGTTTCACACTAAAAGTAGCTTGAAATAGGCCTCATAGTATCAGAAATATTCCATTTTTGGCAATTTTCCTGGGTAAGGGTAGAGTTACCCTAATTTCTCGGTGTGTTTTATGAGTTTTTACTAGATCTACTTCAGCCATGAGGATGGCATACCCCATGACCAATCATTCTTGGTTATATTTTATTATCCAAGAAATAGGGTTAAAGTTTGATTTTTTGTGTGATGATGGATTCAAAATAGTGTGTTATATAGGAGGGGCCTGGGAATGCGATTAATGAATAGTGAAAAGGTTGATTTAGTGCTTATTTTGGACTGTTTTCTTGAATTTTATGTAAAATTGTCCAAATTATGGAATTCTATACAATATATAGTGTGGTTTTGATAGTTAAATAGGCAGTTTCTTGAGCTCAATTGATATATTGGAAGACATACTAGCAAATAACTAGGAATTGGGTTGAATTCAAATAGGACTCAAATTGAACAAAATCACTGATGCATAAATTGTGTTGACTCCTAAATTTGTGCTTGCATAACTCCTTAAGTCTTCCATCAATTTCTGCATTTTTGGTGTCATCTTTAGAAATAGATTCTCTACCATTTCAAAAAATTAAATTATTATTATTATTTTTTTAAATCACTGTCAGCGCTTTTAATTTTGGGGGTTACTACAGTGAAAGGGTCAATAAAAATAATGTATTTCCCAAAATTGTGGACACAGTTGCTCAAGTCATGTAACTTCACTTTGTAGAATTTTGATCCTAAGTTAATATGTAAGTTAATATGTTGATATATATCATTGTTGTAAGTTGAAATACCAGACAGTCTGGAGAGAAAATGGCAATTTATATGTAGAATCAGAATTTATGGTTCTTGTTTTTATGTGTATTTTTTAAGTATGTACCAAATTAAGATTTTCCTTGTTTAATGCTCTTTACAGTTAACAGAATCTGTCGCAGAACCTAGCATAGCAGAGGTTATTTTGAGTCGAGGGGTTTTACCCATCCTTGGTTACTATGCTGGGCATCCAGGTACATGCAAACTTCTCCTTCGCCGACTTATTACTCTGTGGGCCACCAGTGAGAAGAGAGTCAGAGTTTTAGCTTTCATTGGCATATATAGGCTCACACGAACTCTGTCTCCACATTTCTTGGAGTGGGCATTGAAGGTAAGCACTGAGAAATGTAGTTACGACTTATGGTCTTCTACTTTGATTACAGGTTTTATAGTGTTTTTAATGCTGCTGTCATCTGTTATGTTTCCTATTTTGTGTATAGAAAGATAAAAGAACTACAAATGAATAAGAAAGAAGAGTATAAGGTACTTTAGTTATCAACCAGGTTAAAAAAAATTGCTGAGCCTTTAATAGGTGAATTCACATAATTTAATACTGATTACATAGTCCCTTTCTTTTCAATAAACTTGATTGATTGATACCAACAAATGTGTCCTAACCTTAATCACTCATGCCAGGAATTGACCCACTGTTAGGCATGATGCTAAATAAAGTACTGTAGTCTCAAACAAGGCAGTGTAGTACTCTGCTCGCTTGAATCATGCCTAACAATTTTGAATCCTGGCATGGGCATTTTGGGTTGGGACAGTATTCCCATTCTAGTGTGATGGGATTAGTGGCCTTGTTAATAAAGAAAGGGTTTAGTAATTAAGACACCTTGTAGGTTTCCCAGTAGTACAGAAAAGTTTTGTTTTTACAGCTAATTTTTGCTAGCTAAGAGCTGAGAAGCTACCTCAGCTCCTTTCAAGGTTCAGGTGTAACTGTGGTATACTGGCTCATAGGATCTAACCCACAACAGTTGACCAACACCTTTACCTATAAATTGCTAGGCTTTTCACTCAACTCAGGAATCAAACCAAGGACCTTTTCATTTCAGAGCTGAATGTTCTAACCAGTAAGCTACTGGTCACTTGAGAGAGTAATTACAAAAACATTAGTCTTGTGTAGACTTTGTAATGAAATACTCTTCCTGATAAAGTTGTCTTACTGTGATACTGCATACAGACACAGAGACAATAAAATGAAATATAAGATAGATACTGTGCTACATATATGAGAGAATCTTATGAGGCATATATGAGAGAATCTTTTGATGCTTTGAAAGAGTGATTCTGGGATGTGTTTAGGGGGTTTTGAGCTAAGTGAGGGAATAATTGTTTTGGAAATCTTAAATGCAAGTGGGAGATGATATTTATGGAGTAGTAAAGTGCGGAGTCCCTGTTGTCAATGGCTGAGTTATAACACTTGGAAAGTGATTTCATGACAATAGATTTTTCAAGAAGTATATAAGACATGACAAAGTGGATGCTGCATTTATGCTTTTGTGAATCCAAGAATGGATGTTCGGTAGAAGACTTTACAAGTTGTGTAAGCCTTAGTATTGCTTTTTTTTTTTTTTTTTTTTTTTTTTTTTTTTTTTTTTTTTTTTGTGTGTGTGTGTGTGTGTGTGTGTGTGTGTGTGTAACTAAAGTAGTACATCATTGGAATGAAATAGTTTGTCTTTTATTGCATTTGATGGTTAATTATAGTATTTTTTCTATCATTAGAATTTGAATAGATTTTGGTCCTATTCATTTGATCCTTGGCATATATGTTTATGTACAATATATACAAGTATATATTAACCCCTTGACTGTCGCAACCCCCAATCCTGAAGTGTCTCCTGGTGTCGCAAAATTTAAAAAAAAAAAAAAAATTCTTATGAAATGATAGAGAATCTTTTCCCGATTGTAATGACACCAAAAACACAAAATTTGATGGAAAACTGGCGGAATTACGCTCTCTCGAAGTTAATGACCTCAGCGATATTTACAAATCGGCGATTTCGCCCACTTTGACCCCTATTTTCGGCTAATTCCGTTGTTCCAGTCGACCAAACTCATAGCTATTTCTTTAGAACTCCATTTTTTCTATCGATTGAGTACAAGAAACTGCCCATTTACCGATTTCAACTACCCAATAATGTGGTCAGAAATTTGCAATTTGGCCAATTTCACGAAAATTAAAAAATATGACAATTTCAAAATACGGTCCAGAATGAACAATGCAGACATTCCTGGCTCTAAAATAAAATTTTCTTTGTTCATCAGTCACGTTTCCAGGCCTCTCTGATATTACTCTTGCTTTCTATTTTGAATTTTTATTCAAACAAAAAATAGAAGATTTACTGTTATGCAGACTACTGCAGTACTGTAATAATTGTATAAATAACATCAACTCATTCATGACTTCATATTAGAATGGCTAGTTGGACATTTATTGGATAATGACATCATTTGTTTACATTTGAACATCGGCAAAAATCAAACATTTCCCCTACTTTGAGCTCCATTTCCAGGTTCTTTTTATAGTAAAATTAATCAAAATCATCTCTATTTCTATAATATGTTTTCCATTCTATCAAATGAGACCAAGAAAACGAGAATACAACCATAAATACTATACGAAAATAGAACACAAAGTCGGCATTTTAATTAAAAAAAAACGGTCGGAGTTTTTTTTTCTCATTATGCACTGCATGCTCCAAGATTTTTTTATATGGTGCACAGTGACCTCGCAGACCCATTCTCTCACATGTGGGCCTACCAGCTTTCTCCTGCTTGATTTGAAGCTGCTAGAATTTCTGAGTATATATACGTCAAACACGGTACCTCGTGAGACGTATATATACGACGTCGACAGTCAGAGGGTTAACAAATGCATAAATTATTTTCAGTATAGAGTATACAGTACTATATGGAACTGATAATGTTGATATACACCAGTAAAATGTTTACTACAATAAATATTACAAAATAATTTTTTTCAGAGACTTTACCTTACATATGTACAAAATTCAAGATTTACATCACCCAGCACCTGGGGCTTAATAGATTTTATGCGTATATCACTAGTGGAATTATACTCCATGGACCAAGTGCTTGCATACAAGCATGCCTTTATTTATATTCGTCAGATGGCATTCCACCTTCGTAATGCCATCACAGTTAAAAAGAAGGTAAGGTATGTGTTGAATGTTCAATCACTGAATGACCCACAAAAAATTGTATATAATGAATTTTAAATAAATGGCTCATACTTACATGTGAATATATCCTAAATTAAACTCTTACTCTTAAAGTTTCAGTTAAATTAAAGGTTTTTATTGACTTTATATTCATTATTTTTATTGCTAAGATTAAGAATTATATGGTATGTATGCTGTAAATATCAGAATATTCTTTTATTGTTAAAGTATATAATAACAAGAACATTCTTTTTTGTTCAACACTCGACTAACTTATCAGCACTTTTATTACTCAGGAGCGTATTCAGCTCGTTTACAATTGGCAGTACATCCATTGTTTGCACATGTGGGCTGATCTTCTGGCCAAGACTCATCCTAGTACTGCCCTTCAGCCAATCATTTACCCTCTTACTCAGGTAAAACTTTTTTAATACATTGGCTTGTTACACTAAGTTAGTGATCCAGAGAAAACTCATTCACCATTGCTTATTATCTAGTTGTCTCCAGAAATGCATAGACCTCACAGTTCAAATAATTCTCTAAACTTCAACCTCCCCACCCATCTTTCTAAGTGCACTTGCACTTACCTCTAGAACTCCAGTCCAGTAAAATACAACTACATATAAATGTTTCATGTAATTTTATGTGAACTTATCACTGTTCCTGTATTAACACTACACAGTTTTATCAAATATAAATATTTTATAATTATTATTAACACATCGGCCATTTCACACAAGGCAGGATGACCCGAAAAAGAAAAACTTTCACCATCATTCACTGTAGTTTTATAACTGTAGTGTAAGCATGCCAGAGGCATGCTTACACTAGTTATAAAACTGCAACATTAACACCCCTCCTTCAGAGTGCAGACACTCTACTTCCCATCTCCAGGACTCAAGTCCGGCCTGCCAGTTTCCCTGAATCCCTTCATAAACGTTACCTTGCTTACACTTCAACAGTACATCAAGTCCTAAAAACTATTTGTCTCCATTCACTCTCTGTCTAACGTGCTCACGCACACTTCCTGGAAGTCCAAGCACCTCGCACACAAAACCCCTTTACTCCCTCCCTCCAACCTTTCCTAGGCTGAGCCCTACTCTGCCTTCCCTCCACTACAGATTTGTATACTCTCGAAGCCATTCTATTTCATTCCATCCTCTCTACATGTCCAAACCATCTCAGAAACCCCTCCTCAGCCCTCTAGATAATAGTTTTGGTAATCCCACAACTCCTAATCTCTAAGCTACGGATTCTCTGCATTATATTCACACCACACATTGCCCTCAGACGTGACATCTCCACTTCCTCCAGCCTTCTCCTTGTTGTACCATTCACCACCCATGCCTCACACCCATACAAGAGCATTGGTATAACTATACTCTCATACATTCCCCTCTTTGCTTTCATGGATAAAGTTCTTTGTCTCCACAGACTCCTTAGTGCACCACTCGCCTTTTTCCCCTCGTCAATTCTATGATTCACCTTATCCTTCATAGACCCATCTGCTGACACGTCCACTACCAAATATCTGAACACATTCACCTCCTCCATACTCTCTCCCTCCAATCTGATATCCAATCTTCCGTTACCTAATTTTTTTGTTATCCTCATCACCTTCTCTTTCCTATACAGTGGCACCTTGGGATACGAACAGCTCAAAACACGAACAATTATGTAAGTGTATTTATGTAAGTGCTTTTGTAAGTGTATTTTTGGGGTCTGAAACGGATTAATCTAATTTATATTATTCCTTATGGGAACAAATTCGTTTGGTATCAGCACTCGAACAACCTTCTGGAATGAAATAAGTTCGTATCCTGATGTATCACTGTATTCACTTTTAACTTCCTTCTTTTACATACCCTACCAAACTCATCAACCAACCTCTGTAAATTCTCTTCAGAATCTCTTAAAAATGCAGTGTCATCAGCAAAGAGCAACTGTGACACCTCCCACTTTGGTTTTTTTGGTTTTTTTCTAGCATCTGCTAGAAAAATGACAGGATGGATAATGAGAACCTTCAAAACTAGGGAGGCCAAGCCCATGATGACACTCTTCAGGTCACTTGTTCTATCTAGGCTGGAATATTGCTGCACACTAACAGCACCTTTCAAGGCAGGTGAAATTGCCGACCTAGAAAATGTACAGAGAACTTTCACGGCGCGCATAACGGAGATAAAACACCTCAATTATTGGGAGCGCTTGAGGTTCCTAAACCTGTATTCCCTGGAACGCAGGAGGGAGAGATACATGATTATATACACCTGGAAAATCCTAGAGGGACTAGTACCGAACTTGCACACGAAAATCACCCACTACGAAAGCAAAAGACTTGGCAGACGATGCACCATCCCCCCAATGAAAAGCAGGGGTGTCACTAGCACGTTAAGAGACCATACAATAAGTGTCAGGGGCCCGAGACTGTTCAACTGCCTCCCAGCACACATAAGGGGGATTACCAACAGACCCCTGGCAGTCTTCAAACTGGCACTGGACAAGCACCTAAAGTCAGTTCCGGATCAGCCGGGCTGTGGCTCGTATGTTGGTTTGCATGCAGCCAGCAGCAACAGCCTGGTTGATCAGGCTCTGATCCACCAGGAGGCCTGGTCTCAGACCGGGCCGCGGGGGCGTTGACCCCCGGAACTCTCTCCAGGTAAACTCCAGGTAAACCCCACACCTCTTGCTAACACCCGAGCATTCACTTCTCTTATTACTCCATCTATAAATATATTGAACAACCATGGTGACATCACACATCCCTGTCTAAGGCCTACTTTTACTGGGAAATAATCCCCCTCTCTCCTACATACTCTAACCTGAGCCTCAATATCCTCGTAAAACTTCTCACTGCCTTCAGTAACCTATCTCCTATTCCATACATTTGCAACATCTGCCACATTGCCCCCCCTATCGTATGCCTTTACCAAATCCATAAATGCCCATTGATGTTTCCTTTCAGTTTAAATAATGATTCATCCTTTTTTTCATGGTTGGGTGATTGGAATTAAACTATATTATCTGGGTTTGTGATCATATATAGGTATTAAAATACACCTACCATCTGACTTACGACCTGCTCGACTTACGACCACTCAACTTATGACCGTGTTTTTTTTTTTTGCCAAATTTCTGGGGAACAAACAACTATTTGTGTTGTACACAGTGTTTATCCTAAACCTTACAGTATAAAATACAGTACTAACAGCATAAAAAGTAAAGTAAAACATGAAATACCAAAATAAAACAAAATAAAGTCATTACAAAAATGTGATGTTGATATTCAGTAGTAAAGTTCGACTTGCGTCCATTTTCGACTTATGACCGGTTTCTCAGAACCAAACTCGGTCGTAAGTCGGATGGTAGGTGTAAGTCAAATTATAAATTTTTAGTAAATTGTACCAACCCATTATTAACTGTCAGAAAGACACTATTCATCTTCCACAGTATTATGGCATATTTTTAACCTGCCAATAATTGCTTAGTTTTGATTCACCGCTATTTTAGTTTAGTTTTGGCTGTAGGTTTCAGTTGAAAAAATATAATTGTTTAAAGTTAAATTGCATATATTTTGTATTAAAAATAATGTCTAGGAGCAACAACACTTGTCTACAGATGATAAAAGGAAAAAAAATCTGCTGAGAGCAATAGGTATAGCTAATTGATGATTTACTTTATAAACTATCAGAAAGAATAAAAGAAGGAAATTTTACTGATATTCTTGACTTAGTGATGAAAAGTTTGTAGCACATTAATTTTATTTTAATTTCAGGTTGCTTTGGGAACAATGAAACTTCAACCAACACCCTCATTTTATCCACTAGTATTCCATGTCTGTGGAATCTTGACAGAACTCTCAAAAAAAACTGGTAATTTCATACCAGTTCTTCCTTTCTTACTTGAGGTATGTATGTTACATTAATAATGATAAAACTATTTCCCAAGATTCTTTACGTTAATTACAATAGTAATATCCGTGTTAATATGATGGGTATTGTAAACTCTGGTTGTTGAGGAAGACTGAATATATTAGGTAAAAAATTGTCATCCTGAGTGCTACCCCTTACATATCAGCATTGGCCTTGGGTAGGTATGCTAAAATTTATGGGTACCACTGATTGCAGTAAGTTGCTGTGATGTTAAAATTTGTAATATCCTGCACCAAAAACCCATGATCATGGAATGACCCAAGTCATAGATCAGTCATTAGGGTGGAATATACTTGGGCAACAGCATCAATTTTAGCAGAAAACAAGGAATGCGATATTTACTTAACATTTCAGCTCTACTTGCAACTCTCCATATTTTTTATTTATTTCATAGAGTGCTGAACCTGTAGGGGGTCATACAATGCCTTGGGGACTGGAAGGCAATTTGAGTCAATCAAAGGAAAGAGGGGAAAGTCACTCAGAGAGCCCCACTACTGATCTCCATCTACCACCTTACCTGATAATCTTTCAACAGACATGCAATAAAAAGATACTCCCCCTTTCTGCTTCTTTCTGTCCTTTGAACAACCACAGCACAAGTCTAAGGAATATCAAAATCATTTAACAAAATGCCATTTTGTATTGACGCTATCACTCGCACATGTGTCATCACATGTAGACTATGGCTGTATGCAGCTGGGACAAGCGGCTTCTTTATTACAAGTCATAGTACTAAGTGAAGCCATAGGCTATCCTCTGACTAGTTCTGCAGCACATTTTGGTCTGCCACAGACCTTAATAATAGGTACAGTTCTGTAGGAAGACTGTCAACTCACATCAAAAGTTTGGAAATTTTCTACAGAGCACAGGCAGGGAGAGATGTGAATGATCTATAAGACTTGTGGCCTGACAGCTAGGGAAGTTGGAGCTCAACTATTGAAAATAAATGTGGTTCCTTGTGAGAGGAAATACAGTGGACCCCCGGTTAACGATATTTTTTCACTCCAGAAGTATGTTCAGGTGCCAGTACTGACCGAATTTGTTCCCATAAGAAATATTGTGAAGTAGATTAGTCCATTTCAGACCCCCAAACATACACATACAAACGCACTTACATAAATACACTTACATAATTGGTCACATTCGGAGGTAATCATTATGCGGGGGTCCACTGTACAGTGGAACCTCGACTTACGAAAGCCTCATCTTACGATAAAATCGACTTACGAAGCTTTTCAGCGTAAAAATTTTATCCTGACCTACGATGAAAAACTCGACTTATATCATTTGTCCCGAACGCGGCCGTCTGGCCTGAGCGCCTCAGCTAAGCTAGTGTGACATTGTTTACAAGCCAGGGGGGATGGTTGCACGCATACATTCGATAAATTTTGTATTATTCCAGTGTTTTTAGTGCTTGTAACTGCTAAATAAGCCACCATGGGCCCGAAGCAAGCTTCTAATGCCAACCCTGTGGTAAAAAGGGTGAGAAATACTATCATACCATGGTCAGCTGCTGCTGCTGTAGCATCGTCAGCTGCTGCTGTACCACGGTCAACTGCTGCTGCACCACAGTCAGCTGTACTACTCGAAGATGTGAAGAGACTGTTGTTGGTGTGGCTTGTCGAGAATACCGAGAAACAATTAACCCCAGAGGGCTAGCCACCCAGGGTAACCCAAGAAAGTCAGTGTGTCATTGAGGACTATCTAACTTATTTCCATTGGGGTCCTTAATCTTGTCCCCCAGGATGCGACCCACACCAGTCGACTAACACCCAGGTGAACAGGAAAAAATGCCTGGAACTAGTGCTCATATTGGTGAATTTAAGGCCAGCAAAGGTTGGTTTGAGAGATTTAAGAATTGTAGTGGCATACACAGTGTGATAAGGCATGGCAAAGCTGAAAAATTAATCCCCCAGCAAGTGTTCAATTGTGACAAAACAGGCCTGTTCTGGAAGAAAATGCCAAACATGACCTACATTACTCAGGAGGAAAAGGCATTCCCAGGACACAAGCCTATGAAAGACAGGCTAACTTTCTTGTTTTGTTGTAATGCTAGTGGGGATTGCAAAGTGAAGCCTTTACTCATGTATCACTGAAAATCCCAGTGTGTTCAAGAAAAACAGTCTCATCACTCATCACTACATCTTCAATAAAGTTAAGTGTCATTTATCCTTCATTTAGTACAGTAGTACATGCACAATATATATTGTGCATGTATCCTTTTTGTGAGTAGGAAAATGTATATTTCATGTGGTAAAAAATTTGTTTTTTTTTTCATACTTTTGGGTGTCTGGAATGGATTAATTGGATTTCCATTATTTCTCATGGGAAAAATTAATTCAACTTACGATCACTTCGTCTAACGATGAGCTCTCTGGAACGGATTAATATCGTAAGTCAAGGGTCCACTGTAGTAGTTACAGAGGCACAAAATGGTAGGAAGGACCAGTATTTGCACAGGAAGAGACAAAACTAGTGGTTTCATTCCCAAATAGTTTATCATAACCTGACCCCTTGAGAGGCTTTTGATTTAAGGAATTGGATCTGACTTTTCCTTCCTTGGATTGAACTTGATTGCCTCCCATTCCTCCAGGTGCTGTATGACTCTTTTCCTCAGGACTGGTTCCATGGTCCTGGTGAGGGCTCTTGAGCTAAAGAATTGGACTTACCATTCCATTCCTTGAATTGAATCTAATTGCTTCCTGTTCCCCAACTGTAAAGACTCCTACAGGTTTAGTGCTTTTCCCTGAATAATGTATGGCCTCTGTGGGTTTAGCACTCCCCCATTAATGTAATAATTATCAGAAATTGAACACAGAAATTTTTGTATTTTAATCATTAATTCCATTTTAAAAATTCTTATTGTATTATTATTTTACAGATTTTGAACAAAGCTCATCTGGAAAAGAAACACAAAAAAGCTTCTATAAGACCATTTGACTGGTTATGTATGCTGAGGCTTTCAAGAGCTGAGATGTTGGAATCAGCATTCAAGGATGGGGTTGTTGGCCAAGTTTATGATGGTATACTTAATTACCTAAGTGTAGAAAGTGCATCCATTGGTTTCCCAGAACTGGTTGTGCCTGCCACTCTCCAGGTTGGTTAAATGAACTGTAATCTAATAGTATTATATAGTATAATATCCATGTCACAGTTGCTTTTTGCCAGTGATTTTGTGCTTTTCGGGAAATTCTGAAGAAACTGCAAAGGTTGGTGAACTAATTTGAGAGTGTATAAAAGAAGTGATGCAAGGAGGGAAGAGTATATGGAGAAAAAGAGAGAGGTTAAGAGAGTGGTGAAGCAATGTAAAAAGAGAGCAAATGAGAGAGTGGGTGAGATTAACAAGTTGAGGAAGCCTAGAGAACAAATGGATTTGTCAGGTAAAAATAGGGGAGGAGAGTTATTAAATGGAGAGTTAGAGGTATTGGGAAGATGGAGGGAATATTTTGAGGAATTGTTAAATGTTGATGAAGATTGGGAAGCTGTGATTTCATGTATAGGGCAAGGAGGAATAACATCTTGTAGGAGTGAGGAAGAGTCAATTGTGAGAGTGGGGGAAGTTTGTGAGGCAGTAGGTAAAATGAAAGGGGGTAAGGCAGCTGGGATTGATGGGATAAAGATAGAAATGTTAAAAGCAGGTGGGGATATAGTTTTGGAGTGGTTGGTGTTATTATTTAATAAATGTATGGAAGAGGGTAAGGTACGTAGGGATTGGCAGAAAGCATGCATAGCTCCTTTGTATAAAGGCAAAGGGGACAAAAGAGAGTGCAAAAATTATAGGGGGATAAGTCTGTTGAGTATACCTGGTAAAGTGTATGGTAGAGTTATTATTGAAAGAATTAAGAGTAAGACGGAGAATAGGATAGCAGATGAACAAGGAGGCTTTAGGAAAGGTAGGGGGGGTGTGGACCAGGTGTTTACAGTGAAAATATAAGTGAACAGTATTTAGATAAGGCTAAAGAGGTTTTTGTGGCATTTATGGATTCAGAAAAGGCGTATGACAGGGTGGATAGGGGGGCAATATGGCAGATGTTGCAGGTGTATGGTATAGGAGGTAGGTTACTGAAAGCAGTGAAGAGTTTTTACGAGGATAGTGAGGCTCAAGTTAGAGTATGTAGGAAAGAGGGAGATTATTTCCCAGTAAACGTAGGCCTTAGACAAGGATGTGTGATGTCACCGTGGTTGTTTAATATATTTATAGATGGGGTAGTAGGTAGTAGGTTGGTAGACAGCAACCACCCAGGGAGGTACTACCGTCCTGCCAAGTGAGTGTAAAACGAAAGCCTGTAATTGTTTTACATGATGGTAGGATTGCTGATGTCTTTTGTCTGTCTCATAAATATGCAAGATTACAGGCATGTCTTGCTACTTCTACTTACACTTAGGTCACACTACACATACATATACACATTTATTTCATACACACTCATCTGAGTTTTCTTTGATTTTATCTTAATAGTTCTTGGTCTTATTAATTTTCCTTTTATATCCATGGGGAAGTGGAATAAGAATCTTTCCTCCGTAAGCCATGCGTGTTGTAAAAGTCAACTAAAATGCCGGGAACAATGGGCTAGTAACCCCTTTTCCTGTAAAGATTACTAAAAAGAATAAGAAGAAGAAAATTGTCAAAGTGGGAAGTCTGAATGTGCGTGGATGTTGTGCAGATGATAAGAAAGAGATGATTGTGGATGTTATGAATGAAAAGAAGCTGGATGTCCTGGCTTTAAGTGAAACAAAGCTGAAGGGGGTGGGAGAGTTTCAATGGAGAGGAATAAATGGGATTAGGTCAGGGGTTTCAAATAGAGTTAGAGCTAAAGAAGGAGTAGCAATAATGTTGAAGGATAAGCTATGGCAGGAAAAGAGGGACTATAAATGTATTAATTCAAGGATTATGTGGAGTAAAATAAAGATTGGATGTGAAAAGTGGGTTATAATAAGCGTGTATGCACCTGGAGAAGAGAGAAGTGTAGAGGAGAGAGAGAGATTTTGGGAAATGTTGAGTGAATGCGTGGGGAGTTTTGAATCAAGTGTGAGAGTAATGGTGGTTGGGGATTTCAATGCTAAAGTGGGTAAAAATGTTATGGAGGGAGTAGTAGGTAAATTTGGGGTGCCAGGGGTAAATGTAAATGGGGAGCCTTTAATTGAGCTATGTGTAGAAAGAAATTTGGTAATAAGTAATACATATTTTATGAAAAAGAGGATAAATAAAATATACAAGGTATGATGTAGCACGTAATGAAAGTAGTTTATTAGATTATGTATTGGTGGATAAAAGGTTGATGGGTAGGCTCCAGGATGTACATGTTTATAGAGGGGCAACTGATATATCGGATCATTATTTAGTTGTAGCTACAGTTAGAGTAAGAGGTAGATGGGAAAAGAGGAAGGTGGCAACAACAAGTAAGAGGGAGGTGAAAGTGTATAAACTAAGGGAGGAGGAAGTTCGGGCGAGATATAAGCGACTATTGGCAGAAAGGTGGGATAGTGCAAAGATGAGTAATGGGGGGGTTGAAGAGGGTTGGAATAGTTTTAAAAATGCAGTATTAGAATGTGGGGCAGAAGTTTGTGGTTATAGGAGGGTGGGTGCAGGAGGAAAGAGGAGTGATTGGTGGAATGATGAAGTAAAGGGTGTGATAAAAGAGAAAAAGGTAGCTTATGAGAGGTTTTTACAAAGCAGAAGTGTTATAAGAAGAGCAGAATATATGGAGAGTAAAAGAAAGGTAAAGAGAGTGGTGAGAGAGTGCAAAAGGAGAGCAGATGATAGAGTGGGAGAGGCACTGTCAAGAAATTTTAATGAAAATAAGAAAAAATTTTGGAGTGAGTTAAACAAGTTAAGAAAGCCAAGGGAAAATATGGATTTGTCAGTTAAAAACAGAGTAGGGGAGTTAGTAGATGGGGAGATGGAGGTATTAGGTAGATGGCGAGAATATTTTGAGGAACTTTTAAATGTTAAGGAAGAAACAGAGGCAGTAATTTCATGCACTGGTCAGGGAGGTATACCATCTTTTAGGAGTGAAGAAGAGCAGAATGTAAGTGTGGGGGAGGTACGTGAGGCATTACGTAAAATGAAAGGGGGTAAAGCAGCTGGTACTGATGGGATCATGACAGAAATGTTAAAAGCAGGGGGGGATATAGTGTTGGAGTGGTTGGTACTTTTGTTCAATAAATGTATGAAAGAGGGGAAGGTACCTAGGGATTGGCGGAGAGCATGTATAGTCCCTTTATATAAAGGGAAAGGGGACAAAAGAGACTGTAAAAATTATAGAGGAATAAGCTTACTGAGTATACCAGGAAAAGTGTACGGTAGGGTTATAATTGAAAGAATTAGAGGTAAGACAGAATGTAGGATTGCGGATGAGCAAGGAGGTTTCAGAGTGGGTAGGGGATGTGTAGATCAAGTGTTTACATTGAAGCATATATGTGAACAGTATTTAGATAAAGGTAGGGAAGTTTTTATTGCATTTATGGATTTAGAAAAGGCATATGATAGAGTGGATAGAGGAGCAATGTGGCAGATGTTGCAAGTATATGGAATAGGTGGTAAGTTATTAAATGCTGTAAAGAGTTTTTATGAAGATAGTGAGGCTCAGGTTAGGGTGTGTAGAAGAGAGGGAGACTATTTCCCGGTAAAAGTAGGTCTTAGACAGGGATGTGTAATGTCACCATGGTTGTTTAATATATTTATAGATGGGGTTGTTAAGGAAGTAAATGCTAGGGTGTTTGGGAGAGGGGTGGGATTAAATTATGGGGAATCAAATTCAAAATGGGAATTGACACAGTTACTTTTTGCTGATGATACTGTGCTTATGGGAGATTCTAAAGAAAAATTGCAAAGGTTAGTGGATGAGTTTGGGAATGTGTGTAAAGGTAGAAAGTTGAAAGTGAACATAGAAAAGAGTAAGGTGATGAGGGTGTCAAATGATCTAGATAAAGAAAAATTGGATATCAAATTGGGGAGGAGGAGTATGGAAGAAGTGAATGTTTTCAGATACTTGGGAGTTGACGTGTCGGCGCATGGATTTATGAAGGATGAGGTTAATCATAGAATTGATGAGGGAAAAAAGGTGAGTGGTGCGTTGAGGTATATGTGGAGTCAAAAAACGTTATTCTATGGAGGCAAAGAAGGGAATGTATGAAAGTATAGTAGTACCAACACTCTTATATGGGTGTGAAGCTTGGGTGGTAAATGCAGCAGCGAGGAGACGGTTGGAGGCAGTGGAGATGTCCTGTTTAAGGGCAATGTGTGGTGTAAATATTATGCAGAAAATTCGGAGTGTGGAAATTAGGAGAAGGTGTGGAGTTAATAAAAGTATTAGTCAGAGGGCAGAAGAGGGGTTGTTGAGGTGGTTTGGTCATTTAGAGAGAATGGATCAAAGTAGAATGACATGGAAAGCATATAAATCTATAGGGGAAGGAAGGCGGGGTAGGGGTCGTCCTCGAAAGGGTTGGAGAGAGGGGTAAAGGAGGTTTTGTGGGTAAGGGGCTTGGACTTCCAGCAAGCGTGCGTGAGCGTGTTAGATAGGAGTGAATGGAGACGAATGGTACTTGGGACCTGACGATCTGTTGGAGTGTGAGCAGGGTAATATTTAGTGAAGGGATTCAGGGAAACCGGTTATTTTCATATAGTCGGACTTGAGTCCTGGAAATGGGAAGTACAATGCCTGCACTTTAAAGGAGGGGTTTGGGATATTGGCAGTTTGGAGGGATATGTTGTGTATCTTTATATGTGTATGCTTCTAGACTGTTGTATTCTGAGCACCTCTGCAAAAACAGTGATAATGTGCGAGTGTGGTGAAAGTGTTGAATGATGATGAAAGTATTTTCTTTTTGGGGATTTTCTTTCTTTTTTGGGTCACCCTGCCTCGGTGGGAGACGGCCGACTTGTTGAAAAAAAAAAAAAAAAAAAAAAGATGGGGTTGTAAGAGAAGTAAATGCGAGGGTCTTGGTAAGATGTGTGGAGTTAAAAGATAAAGAATCACACATAAAGTGGGAGTTGTCACAGTTGCTCTTTGCTGATGACACTGTGCTCTTGGGAGATTTTGAAGAGAAGTTGCAGAGGTTGGTGGATGAATTTGGTAGGGTATGTAAAAGAAGAAAATTAAAAGTGAATACAGGAAAGAGTAAGGTTATGAGGATAACAAAAAGATTAGGTGATGAAAGATTGGATATCAGATTGGAGGGAGAGAGTATGGAGGAGGTGAATGTATTCAGATTATTGGGAGTGGACGTGTCAGCGGATGGGTCTATGAAAGATGAGGTGAATCATAGAATTGATGAGGGGGAAAGGGTGAGCGGTACACTTAGGAGTCTGTGGAGACAAAGAACTTTGTCCTTGGAAGCAAAGAGGGGAATGTATGAGAGTATAGTTTTACCAATGCTCTTATATGGTTGTGAAGCATGGGTGATGAATGTTGCAGCGAGGAGAAGGCTGGAGGCAGTGGAGATGTCATGTCTGAGGGCAATGCGTGGTGTGAATATAATGCAGAGAATTCGTACTTTGGAAATTAGGAGGAGATGCGGGATTGCCAAAACTGTTGTCCAGAGGGCCGAGGAAGGGTTGTTGAGGTGGTTCGGACATGTAGAGAGAATGGAGCGAAACAGAATGACTCAAGAGTGTATCAGTCTGTAGTGGAAGGAAGGCGGAGTAGGGGTTGGCCTAGGAAAACTTGGAGGGAGCGGGTAAAGGAGGTTTTGTGTGCGAGGGGCTTGGACTTCCAGCGGGCATGCGTGAGCGTGTTTGATAGGAGTGAATGGAGACAAATGGCTTTTAATACTTGACGTGCTGTTGGAGTGTGAGCAAAGTAACATTTATGAAGGGTTTCAGGGAAACCGGCAGGCTGGACTTGAGTCCTGGAGATGGGAAGTACAGTGCCTGCACTCTGAAGGAGGGGTGTTAATGTTGCAGTTTAAAAACTGTAGTGTAAAGCACCCTTCTGGCAAGACAGTGATGGAGTGAATGATGGTGAAAGTTTTCTTTTTCAGGCCACCCTGCCTTGGTGGGAATCGGCCAGTGTGCTAATAATAATAAAAAAATAAAAGGAAATTATAAGTGAACATAGAATGTAACCATCCTGTTAATATACAGTACATTTTTTTTTTTTTTTTTTTAGTTTAAATGATGTACCTTTATCAAAAATTGCTTGTAAGAGATTTAATTTCACCTTGATTAACATTACCTTTTACAGCTCAAGTCATTTATAAAGAAGTGCAAGGTACCAAACTATACCAAGAAAATGAAACAGCTGCTGGAGAAAATATATGAAAACCAAAATTTCATTGAATCAAAAAGAAAGGATGTTTCCTTTGGTATTGCAGATACGAAGCTTGTAAGAAATTGGGAGGTACGTTTTAGCAACTGTTATTAGTGAGAAGATTATAAGAGGAAACATGAAGATATATGTTCATACATTGATTAAAACTACCTTTGTAGTATAAATACCTATCCAAAACATTACTGCCTGACACCCAATTGAAGCATTCTTATACTGTAAACTACTTTCAACAACTCGCAATGTTATATTCCTATAATATAATTTCAGTATTTACTATTGAACCTAGGTAGTAGGTTGGTAAACAGCAACTGCCCAGGGAGGTACTACCGTCCTGCCAAGTGAGTGTACAACGAAAACCTGTAATTGTTTTACATGATGGTAGGATTGCTGGTGTCTTTTGTCTGTCTCATAAACATGCAAGATTTCAGGTATGTCTTGTTACTTCTACTTGCACTTAGGTCACACTACACATACATGTACAAGCATATATATACACACCCCTCTAGGTATTCTTCTATTTTCTTTCTAGTTCTTGTTCTTGTTTATTTCCTCTTATCTCCATGGGTTTAGTGGAACAGAATTCTTCCTCCGTAAGCCATGCGTGTTGTAAGAGGCGACTAAAATGCCGGGAGCAGGGGGCTAGTAACCCCTTCTCCCGTATAAATTACTAAATTTAAGAGAAACCTTCGTTTTTCGTTTTGGGCCACCCTGCCTTGGTGGGATACGGCCGGTGTGTTGAAAGAAAGAAGATTTACTATTGAAACTATTGTAATCTGAGTAAAATTACTGTGTAATATAAATAAACAAGATGTACAACTTAAACAAACTATGTTCAGTTTCTTTAGTATTAAGTAGTCTGTAAGCCATTAAATTAAGTCTGCCCATAATGCCTAGGCATAATAGTGGCTCTCTTTGCACTGCAACTCATTTTTGCAATTTCATAATCTCAATATAATCTTGCAAGGAAATAAAAATTGATTGATTTTTTTTTTTTTCAACAAGTTGGCCGTCTCCCACCGAGGCAGGGTGACCCAAAAAAGAAAGAAAATCCCCAAAAAGAAAATACTTTAATCATCATTCAACACTTTCACCACACTCACACATTATCACTGTTTTTGCAGAGGTGCTCAGATTACAACAGTTTAGAAGCATATACGTATAAAGATACACAACATATCCCTCCAAACTGCCAATATCCCAAATCCCTCCTTTAAAGTGCAGGCATTGTACTTCCCATTTCCAGGACTCAAGTCCGACTATATGAAAATAACCGGTTTCCCTGAATCCCTTCACTAAATATTACCCTGCTCACACTCCAACAGATCGTCAGGTCTCAAGTACGATTCGTCTCCATTCACTCCTATCTAACACGCTCACGCACGCTTGCTGGAAGTCCAAGCCCCTCGCCCACAAAATCTCCTTTACCCCCTGTCTCCAACTCTTTCGAGGACGACCCCTACCCCGCCTTCCTTTCCCTATAGATTTATATACTTTCCATGTCATTCTACTTTGGTCCATTCTCTCTAAATGACCAAACCACCTCAACAGCCCCTCTTCTGCCCTCTGACTAACACTTTTATTAATTCCACACCTTTTCCTAATTTCCACACTCCGAATTTTCTGCATAATATTTACACCACACATTGCCCTTAGACAGGACATCTCCACTGCCTCCAACCATCTCGCTACTGCATTTACCACCCAAGCTTCACACCCATATAAGAGTGTTGGTACTACTATACTTTCATACATTCCCTTCTTTGCCTCCATAGATAACTTTTTTTGACTCCACATATACCTCAATGCACCACTCACCTTTTTTCCCTCATGAATTCTATGATTAACCTCATCCTTCATAAATCCATAAATCAGTCACCCTGCCTTGGCAGGAGATAGCCACTATTAAAAACCAATGAGAGCATAAGTTTTTCTACTAGTATCTTAGAAGCCTTTAAATTGCATTTAAAGCATGAAAATATATTAGCTTAAGGGTTATGATTTTATAAGCTTCCAACTTATTTTAGTCAAACTGTACATTTTTTTTTTAAGTACTGAAAGGACAGTTTTAGCACATTTGGCTAATTTTTAAACTATGTTTACAGATTTCAGTTAAACAGACAGGCACTCCCATTGCTACCTATCATGCCAGTTGGCAAAAAACCCGGGAAAAAGAATATTTAAGGCGTATTTCCAACCGTGTAGAAATGGACGATTACAATCTTCCTGTGGTGAAGAAACGAGAATTACTGGAGAAGCAAAAGGCTAAAGATAAAGATGAGTTTAAGGAGCTCTTTGCATCGGATGATGATGATGATAATGAAGATATAAGCGATGAAACAAGGTAATTTTAATTTTATATTGTAAAAGAAATTAACTAAAGAATAAACCAGAGACTGCCTTAGGCTCAGCTCAAAACTAGACTGCCTTAGACTCGACTCAGCTCCATAGACTGCCCACTAATATTTCTCTGAAATAGAAATTTTCTTTAGTGCCCCTCCTAGTGCAGTTTACAATTTAAATTAAAAAAATTAGACAAGCAATTTTGATTAATGGATTTAGTCAAGATACAAAGCATTGAAATTTCTGGAAACCATAGTTCTCGTGGAGTACCTTTTAGTCGTAGGATTAAAAGTTCAACAGTTGACCCTCTGTGGGATAGCCTGAAAAAAAAAAATTAATGTGTGTGTGTGTGGGGGGGTAGAAGTGTTTGGAAAATGTGATTTTCTGGTAGTCATTTTGATTTCCTGTTTTGAATCCTAAGTAAGCAGACTTTTCCAGGATGAGAATTAGATCAGGGGTAGCCTGATTTAGTCCAGCCTTATGAATGAAAACAAAGAGGATGATAAGAATTGTAGGATTTACTTAATTTTTTATTATTTTTTGTAACATGATAATGAAGTTGTCTAATTAGGCTTAAAATATTGCATTTCAACACCATTTAAAGATAACATATTATTTGTCACCTATCTTTTTTGTAAGATGTCACAATTGTTGTCTCCTTCCTCATGGTCAGTTTAAGGTTTAAATAGAGATACTGCATTATGTCTTTAACAATAATGTTTTAAATTTATTTTATGAGTATTTGTAGACTATCATACATACCCATTTTGTTAATTTCACACACCTTTTTGTTTAACCCTTTCTTTAAACAACTGTATATATAAATGTCAAAAAACTGATGAAATTACTTGTTGACTATTTCCATTTATTAATATATCTTTTTCAGATTCCTGTTGAAGAATGAATCCACTAAACACATTAAATCAAAAATAAATAATGATTTAGATGATGTCCATGATAATATGACCCAAGAGGAAAAATATATAGATGAAACAGGTGAACCACCAGTAAAGAAAAGAAGGGGTATAGCACAAAATGAAGATGTGGACAACATCTTTACTCATGACGATGATGATATTGTGAAAGAGATGAATCTGTCGGACTTTGAATCTGATGATTTTGGAGGTAATACAAATAGTAATTAGTTTTAGTATACACTATTTGCATAAACATATATGTGACATTTTGTTACAAAGTAACTTATTATTATTAGAGATGGTCTTATGTTAAAGACAGTTCTTATAAATTTGTTTTATATTTTGAGGAAATTTACTGTTAAGCAGTAGTTGTTGCATAATTCAGTACTATAAAGATGTTTCCTTTGTGTATATATATTCCCATGGAGGATTAGGCCAAATCATCTGTTTGAAAAAATAGGTGACTGCCTTAGAATGTGCCATTGGCCTCTCCATAGCATAATCACTTCCTTAGAGGGTTTGTTGGTAACAAGCTCTTGGTTACCTGTAGTCGGTTTTAGGGATCACCTCCACTGTGGCCTGGTGCCAGACCAGGACTCCTGATCAACCAGGCTGTTGGTGTACACCACTGTATGCTCTACAGCCTGGCTAATAAGGAACTTATCAAGTTCTCTCTTAAACACAGCTGAGGGTGTGTTGGTACTTTTTACACATGAAGGAAATTAACAAACTCCTAGCTGTTTTAAAGAGGGAACCTGATAAGTTCTTGATCACCCAGCCAGTGGTGTATACATTGGTCTGGGTGGAGTTGGCATCAGTAGCCAGTCCTGGTTGGACCAACCCATACCTTTGAAGAGTTTCAAGAGTGTTTATCTACTCTGAGCCCGGCCATGGCCAGGCTCGTCTGGCAGCGGTGATCCCTGCAACTACAGGCACTGTAAAGAGCTTGTTACAAGGAAGTGATTATGCTATGAAAAGCCTAAAAGCTCACCCTGAGGCAATCATCTATAATAAGGTTAAACAAAGTAAGATTTATTAAACCAATATTTAATTATATTTATTTTTTTTGGATAAAGAAATGGTAGAGGCAGCATTAATTATATAATTTATATTAAGCACTAAACCCATGTGGGCCATTCAACACAAGACATGGTGGTGGCTTGATCCACCATCTGCTAAGCGCCAGACAGACGCGCTTCCTATCTGTACTCACCTACATAGGCGGCATTAAGCCAACTCATGACAAAGCACAATGTCAGCCCTTAACATAACATTTCACTAGAGATTTTTCAAGTTATAGGCTGGCCAGCCAGGAGATGTGGAAAGGCCTAAAGTCATATAACTGGGTTATTGCAGTAGAATAAGGGAAAGTGATTTAGTGAGCACAAAAGTGGCTCGAGTTTGCTCTGTAGTGTTACATAACAGCTTGCATAAAGGCAACTTTACACTTTTTGTTTTCCCGAGCATTTCATCTTTGTGTAACAATAATTGAGCTTTTGCATACACGTGCATTTTTCTACGAGTTAAGATCACATTCCTTTACCATGCCAAATTTGTTGCACCTGACAAGGAATGATGCAAACTCTGGCCACGATAGATGTGAATATAGGGTCTAGTGAGGGATATCACTGCCACACAAGTTTTAATTTTAGAGAGGATGAATGGAATTGTCTCACCATTAGAGATGGGAGAACCATATACCTACAAGCTGCAATCAAATGCTGATGAAACCAATACCAGTAAGGCTGTCAGAGATATTACTGCACTCTGAGTATTGCTGAAAACCCTGTAGACTCAGAAAGACTTCAACTAAAATACCATGCATGGTTAGCAAGGAAGTGTTTAAGATTATTTCTCTTGGTGGTTTTTCCGTGGACACTAAATTTGAGTGTGCTGCCATCTTATAGTAGAACACTGAGGAAGGGAAGAGACCTCAGTTTCCTCCAGGGTAACTGTCAAGAGGGTTCCACATTGTTGAGTCAGTGACGGACTTGACAGTGTGGAACCTTCTATATGGTTTACCCTTGCAGGGAAAGAAGTCTGTCCCCCTACCTTGATGATCAATCACTCAAAAACTAACATTCAAAATCTACAAGAAATCCACCAATAAGGATGACAGCTGACCCAACATGATAGAGGGGAGAGAAAAAAAAAAAAAAAAAGGTTCTGAGTGGGTTCTTCAGATTCAACAGGGTTTTAGCAATTTTTTCATAGAGATGCCACTACACCAACAGCGTTGCCAGGCTTAGCACAACTTATCCTGGAAATCACAGGTAAGATTGCTGCTGCAATAGCACCCATCCCCCCATAAAATGTAAGCTGATGTAGCAGTGGTATCTCCTAAAACTTGTGAAGTGCAGAAAATTCTGCATAGGGTAGTAGGTCTGTGAACTTAATGACTTGTAGAACACAAACCTGGAAATAAGTGCATAGTACATAAACCAAGAAAACAGACAATAGACTGGAACAAAACCTACTGACCCTGTCCTCATGTTACACGAGCATAGGGTCAGTAGGAAGTGCAAAATCAAGGCAGTTTCAAATTTTACACTTGCTAAATCACTTTCCATATTATGTTGCCAATCTTCACGTGTGCAACAGCTTACATCATATGGCCCAGGTCCATACCTTCACCCTGGACAGCCTATACAATTAATAGCTAACACATTTCCTGTATAACTGGAATTTTTTATTTAAGTGAAATGATGTTATAGTATAGTGTTATGCTATTTCAAATCTTTGTTGCATTTTTATAATCCCACTGTAACATTAGCTAATAAATTACAAAGTCAGAAAAACCAGAGTTTCAACTTGTCCAGCATGGGTTTGGTGCACTTTTGTGATTAACACAAGCTGTATTACACATACAAAGGGTCACTATGAATTCTACAAGGCATTTGATACCCCCACAAGAAGCTGGGGCAAAAGTTTGGTGCAAACAGGAATAACAGGTCTGCCAAAGAGTTGTCAGAATGGAGAAATAGTAGCAGGTTTCTGCAAGGATCAGTCTGATTGCAAGTGGTTACTTAAATCCAGCCCCAGCAAGTACAAGATAATGAAGACTAGGGACATGAAGTACTAAATGCAGGGACAGACGCTGCAGACTTTGCTCAGAGAGAGACTTAGGGGTAAGCCAGAGGTCCACATTGACTGAATGACCTCTTCAAAGAGTAGCCTTCAGAAATCTTAAGTCACTATGGGCACTTTATACAACATACAGCAGGCCTATCTTGGAGTATGGAACCCACACTTGAAAAAGCATGTTAAGAAACTGGAGAAAGTACAGAAGACTTGCACCTCATACTCTAGTTCTAGAACAAGAAGCTAACACTAATGACGGACAGAAGAACCATGGGAAACAACATACAAAATACTAAGAGGAATTGATAAGGTGGACAGGAACAGGCTGAGAGGTGAGAAACAGGTATTCAGGGACACAACCAATGAAGACAAACGAGCCACAAGGATGTCAGGAAATATTTCTTCATTCTTAGAATGGTGGAAAAATAGAGATGGGCTCTACATTGTTTGAAGAGTAGGTACAACAGAGCCCATGAAGCTAGGAGGGAGTGAATCTCACAAACGGCAAGTTGAGAGGTGGGACCCAGAAGTTAACTCAACCTCTGCAACTACAGATAAGAGTACACAAACTAAGAAAATATTACTCCAATAAATATTTTATATACAATAAAGACTAATAGTAATATATTCCCTTTACATACAATTATTCTAAAATACAACTAATATATACATGTCATTTTCACATATACATCACTTGTCTTCTGTTTTTAAACTTGGATCATCTCTGGCAAGGGCATATGGAAATACAATAGTACAGTGTGGTAGAGCCTTTTGTAATTCTTGAAGTAAGGCATCTTTGTTGTTTATCTCTGGGAGGTCATACAGAAGAAGATTTTCTAAGTTTCTGTAAAAAAAATAATGCATGTACAAAAATGTGTAAGTAAAGGCAAACTTCTACATTATGTCTTAAAAAATTTAACCTGTAGGGAAAATTTATATTACATATTCATGACTCAAAAGTTGTTACTGACCTCTGTGTTATAAAATTGTAGATAAGTGTTATTAAGCCTAATTTAATGGGTACCTCAACCCAAAAAGAACATTTTAAAAAATTTTCTTAATTTAACTAGAAATGAAAAAATTAACTCACAGGGATACTTATATAAGTATCCACATGAGCTAATTACTGGTACACCTGTATCCAGTTGTACCAGTAATTTTTTAACAAGTTAACTGAAGGATAATGCTTGAGATTGGTAATTTGCATTTTATAACTGGGTAAAGGAGCTGTACAATCCTATGGGCTAAATGCTTTCCATGATGATAATTGCAAGGATGAAGGCATGCTCATACATTATTATAAGAGGGAAGAACTAAACCTTTACGGATCATACAATGCATGGGGAAATGGGAGGTGGTCAGATTTTATCAAAGTGGAGGGCTGCTCCATTTCCCTAGATAAAAAGCTCTTCACTGTTATGAAGGCATGTCCCTTGAAGGCAAGCCCACACAGAGAACATGCTATCTGCTTCACAGTTCATGCCTGCAAGCCACTACTAAAAATATATCATGTAGCCCTGATTGGTAACTCTTTGACACCCTTTGACTTACATAGCACCATTTCTATGCCTCTTCCTCTGTAGTAGGAACAGTATCGGAAGTGTGCAACAGGCTTCAGTTGAAATGAATCAATCACTTTCACTGACATGGCTATGACATGTTGGCTGAACCTTCACCTGGTATTTTTACATTATCTGTTTTATGACAGGTAAATGGAAATTGGCCAATTTTGGTGTTTGTCCTATTTTCACCTGGAGCAAATTGTATGCATTTAGCACTGCAACATCCAACAGCTGGAAAAACAATTTCATATACCACTTCCAACTCCTACTGAGATATTCGACAGACACAATTTGTATGATTTGTTTACCAAAGGCATACTGTTGTATTCAATGACTAAGTGGTTTCACAATGGGTTAATGCCTACCAGTCAACTTTTCTACCTTGCTTCATTTGATGCCTGTGCATGGTCAACTGTGCTACATTTCTTTTGTCATGCCATCGAAATACCATCATATCATTAGTATAAAATACCTGCACTTCATTGGTATCAATGATTTTATGAATGACAGCATGTTTTCTATTTCCTCTCACTGTTCCACACATCTAAATTCACGACTCACGAAATCGTAATAACACGATTGCAAACAAACCATACCACGGGTGGGGTTTGAACCCGCGGTCAGAGTGTCTCAAAATTCCAGACTGTCACGTTAGCCACTGGGCCAGCTAACGCGACTGTCTGGAGTTTTGAGACTCTCTGACCATGGGTTCAAACCCCACCCGTGGTATGGTTTGTTTGCAATCGTGTCATTACGATTTTGTGAGTCATGTTGACAGCTTTGAGGGGACTTGAGCTAGAGTTCGTCACGGCCATGCTAGCGGGAGATTCGGCTGTAAAAACTTGCATTTGTGGACACACTGGTGCCTTTGCTAACCTTCCTATGGTGCAGAAATATACCTAGTTGGACGAATCTTATTGAAGCTAGCTGGCCCAGTGCCTAACGCGACCATCTGGAGTTTTGAGGCTCTCTGACTGCGGGTTCAAACCCCACCCATGGTATGGTTTATCTAAATTCACCTTGTGGAAATCGCAAAAATAAGGGCTTGTGTAACAATTATCTGTGAAAAGGGTATTTTTCTTGCCTAGATATGGCTCTCTCATATTCCTCACAAGTGCACCAGAGAGTACTAACATACAATGACACAACACTATACCAATTTTGCAATCACACATCACAAAAAGTTTGATACCAAACAAATGTCGTTTGCTTGGTATATACAGCCTCTCCTCACTTAGCGAAGTATTCATTTACCACCTACTCGGATTTATGATGAACTCTCTGACCAGTATGCATACCTAAATAATGTATATTAGAGCTGATTTCCTCTATTCTGTTTATTACAATATACAGTACACTACTGTATAAACATTTAAAAATATACTAAAAATGTTATAAATGATGAAAAGGTGACATTAAAACAATATCAAAGATGGATGACACAAACCCACTACCATTATAGTATGCTCCTCATTTTGAGATGAATTCGTTTACTGATGTGATCTTAGGAACAGAACTCCGTCATTAAGTGAGGAGAGGCTGTATTACCTGAAGGATAGTCTTCCCTTGAATAAAATTGGAGACTCATCTACAACAATGTTCTTGAATGGATAAAGGTACTTGCTTAATTTATGCTTCAGGCACATAAGCCATTACCTTACTTTGTAGAACAATTTCTCTCTCTGGGAACTGCTTTTATCAGAGAAAAACTGGTGTTGCTATAAGTGTGTGTATTCCAATACTTAGTAGATATACATGTACTGTATTATTCCTAAGGGTGTGTGGCATCAGCTAGGAAATCTTATCAATTCTTTCATGTCTTTTAACCCTTTCATTGTCACGTCCCCCCAAATTAAAAGTGCTCAGTGTCTACATTTAAAAAGAAAATCTGAAATGGTAGAGAATCTTTTACCGAAGGTAATGACACCAAAAATCTGAAATCTGAAGGAAAATTTGCAGAATTATGCAGGTGTAAAGTTAGCAGTTTGGGTGCAGGATCACTATGCAATAACATATTTGTATTTCTATATTATCTCAAAATTCTGTCATGGTCTCTTTTCAAGGGAGGTTCCTTGATGCTGGTGAGGGACTCTTGATCTAAGAAACTAAACCTGTGCTCAAACTCCTTGAATTGAGTCTGAATGCCTTCCATTCTCTCAGCTACTGTATGACCCCTATGGGTTTAGTGCTCCATATGAATGTAAGAATAATAATGTGTCAGTCTTAAAAATCTTGAATATTTAAGATATATATAATTTAACCAGTTCATTACTATACTGTACAACCCATCAGTGTTTTTAATGTCATTTATTTGATTACCTGCAACCAACTCTGGCTTATTTAAATTTGTATTTTTCCATAATGAGCTACATTTCATTAAAGGCTTCAACACCTGTAACAGTCAATTTAATGATCCATTAGCTTATTTACTGATTGTGTGAAGCTTGAAATTATTTATAAATTGTTAACACTAACATTTAAAACTTGCCAGATAGCTTTAAGATTAACCTAAATGGATAGGCTTAAGCTGGTAAGATAATACTCACTTCAACTTCACCAGCTGTCTCAGTCCATTTGTAGTAACATTACCACATGAAGATATCTGAAGATCTTTAAGAGAGTCCCTTAACAGTGGCAAATGGCTCAGTCCTTCATCATCAAGATACGAAGCCTTGTGAAACACTATACGACGAATATGCTTGCAACCCCCTGCCATGTTCAAAAATCAAAATAAATAACAGCTTTCTGGAACTTTCAAAATTATGTAAATTTGCATAAAGTTTAATGACATCCCTCATACAACAAATGTTAAAGAGTGAGAAAAGTGAACAGTTAAAAAAAAAAAAATGGCGATAAACAGAAGCAAATCCCTGATGCCACATCTATTTACAAGGAAAGGTAATTCTAACGAGTCAACAAAACTTGTTTTCAGCAAATTTTGCTGAGAATAAAAAAAGTTTTGGAGAAAGATAAATTGAGAAAGCCTGAGGAGCAAATGGACCTGGCAGTTAAGTGGCTTTTAATGGACATGTTGGAGTGTGACAAGATAGCATTTATGAAAGGATTCAGGGAAAATGGTTAGCCAGATTTGAATTTTGGAGGAGTGGTAGTGCTGGCACTCTAAAGGAGAGGGTGAGGATGTTGGAGTTGGGGAGGGGGTTAGGTAAGCTGAACTGTGACATCAGCACACTTCTTGCAAGCCTGTGACTGAACTTCCAAATGAATGATGGTGACTTTTTTTTTTTTTCATTTTTTTTTTACTTGATCTCCCAGCCTTAGTGGGAGATGGCCACTGAGGTAAAAAAAAAAAAAAATACAGATGGAGTAATTTCAAGGTAAAGATCAAAGTAAATGAGAAGAAATCTGACCTAGTGAGTCTGACTGAAACCAAACTGAAAAAAAACAAACACTATAAATTATATAGCATTCAAGATACTAGGAAGCATTCAAGATATGAGGAGGATTGGCAACACAGTAAACTATTTAACAGACTAATTGGGAAGCAGGTAGCCAGTAATGGCAAAAGCAATAAGACTAAGTAGACAGTATCATACAGCAGCCCAAGGGTACACAGGATGAGATTTCCTACAGCAATTAAATTCCCGAGAAAAAAAAAAAAATAATAATAAACAGGTATTTAAATATAGTACAGTACTTACTGAAATGAGGAAAGCCAATATGCATTATTGCAGAATCTGTGGCATCAACTTCTTCTATTTTTAATAACTTTTCACTCATTGCTGGCAGGGTATTATAATCTTTTGTCCATTTTTCACTGTTGTGCCATTTGACAAAGGCTCCACACCTTAGTAGCCATTCAGCACAGGCTCGATCAGGGCCTACTTCTTTAATTCTGCTTTCATCTACTCTGTTGAGTGATACCTCATGCAATAATTTAGGTTAAATGCAGAGGACAGTTAATTATTATTACAACACCATCATCAATTCCCTCACCTCACCAATACATTAATTCTTTTATCTATTTTATAATATGGACTGCTGTGTTTTAGCTCTTTCATTTATTATTACTGTGCATATTAACTATAACCCCATCCATTAAAGCCTTTGATACTATTCCATATTGTTATACACATGTATCAGAGTACAGTGGACCCTCGACGAACGATATTAATCCGTTCCTGAGAGCTCATCGTTAATCGAAATTATCGTTAGTCGAGTTAAATTTCCCCATAAGAAATAATGGAAATCAAATTAATCCGTTCCTGACACCCCAAAGTACAGTGGACCCCCGGTTAACGATTTTAATCCGTGCAAGAGGGCTCATCGTTATGCGAAATAATCGTTATGCGAATGAATTTTCCCCATAAGAAATAATGGAAATAAAATTAATCCGTGCAAGACGCCCAAAAGTATGAAAAAAATTTTTTTTTACCACATGAAATGTTAATTTTAATACACACAAACTGAAAAAGGCATGCACAATTACATGACACTTTTATTGAAGATCTGGTGATGATTGATGGGATGGGAGGAGGGGAGAGCATTATCTTCTTACTGTTTAGAAGGGGAATCCCCTTCCATTAGGACTTGAGGTAGCAAGTCCTTTTCTGGGGTTACTTCCCTTCTTCTTTTAATGCCACTAGGACCAGCTTGAGAGTCACTGGACCTCTGTCGCACAACAAATCTGTCCATAGAGCTCTGTACCTCCCGTTCCTTCAAGACTTTCCTAAAATGGGCCATAACATTGTCATTGAAATAGTCACAAGCACGGCTTGCAACAGCTGTGTCAGGGTGATTTTCATCTATAAAGGTTTGCAGTTCAACCCACTCTGCACACATTTCCTTAATCTTTGAAGTAGGCACAATGGATTCCACAACTGGCATAGGCTTCTCAGGGTTAGCCCCAAACCCTTCAAAATCTTTCTTAATTTCCATACTAATTCTCACCCTTTTTACCACAGGGTTGGCACTAGAAGCTTTCTTGGGGCCCATGGTCACTTATTTTCCAGAAACAGCACCGAAAAATACTGTAATAATACGAAATATTCCGAGTGTATGCTTGGATGTTACCGCGGAGGCTGGCTGGTAAACAATGGGACGGAGCGGCACATGTGAGGCTGGCTGAGGGCACATTGGACGCGTCTCGGACGAAAATCGGTATGCGGGTTTTTAATCGGTATGCGCGGCAAAAATTTTGCGATAAAAGTAATCGTTATGCGGAAAAATCGCTATGCGATGCCATCGTTATGCGGGGGTCCACTGTATTGAAAAAAAAAAATTTTACCATATGAAATATTAATTTTAATACAAACTGAAGAAGACAGTGGTGACGTGTACTTAGCTCTGTGAAGACCTGTTTGTGCGCTCTCTACGAATTGAAGCAAGATGCCCTCCATCGAACAACTTTACCAACAGCTTAAGGAAGAATTGAGGATGGCGAAGATGGAGATTCGGCGACTGACTGAGGAAAACAAGAAGATTCGTAGTAGTCCTCCTGTTTTGAGTCCTCAGGTCAAGAAAGGAAACTGGTCAGTGGCTGGACAGCAGGGAACGAAGTTGACGATCAAGAAGACGAATGGAAAGGTAGAAACGATGAAGAAGAAAGAGACTGCTGTGGAAACTGTTATGGAAACATCTAATGCTTTCTCCGTGCTACCCGACGAATGTGAGTCGACTACTGGGAACGTCACGACGAACGACACCAAGGAAGGTAAGAATATTGTTGTTGTTGGGGATAGCCAAGTTAGGTATATGGATAGGGCGTTCTGCTTGAAGGACAGGAGTAGGAGACAGAGAGTTTGCTTTCCTGGGGCTGGGATGGAGGATATTGTTAGCCGTCTGGATGACATCATGAGAGGTAATGGGAGCAATCCTATTATCTGTCTCAGTGCTGGAGGCAACGATGTTGGCAGACGTAGGAGTGAAGACCTGATTAGCAGGTATAGGTCAGCAATAGAAATAATTAGGAGGAAGGGTGGGAACCTTGTCATATGTGGTATTTTGCCAAGGAGAGGAGTTGGAAATGAATGGTTGTCCAGGGGAATTGGTGTCAATTGCTGGCTGGACAAATACTGTAAGGAAAATGCGGTAACATTCATTGACAACTGGGACCTCTTATATGGCAGAAATGACATGTATGCCAGGGATGGGGTTCACTTATCTAGGTCTGGGGTGGGAGCACTGGCAACTGCAGTGGAGGGAGCTGTTAGGACTTTAATTAAACTAGGAATAGTTAGTGGTATGGGTTTTGGCAGAAAAACAGTGGAGTCCCAGTGTAGTAATATTATGAGTTCTAGGAGAACTAGTAATAAGCAGAACGAGGTAGATATTGAAAAGCCAGTGACATTGGGTGATAAGGACAATAATAGGTTTAGTAGAAAAACAGAAATGAGCAGGAAGGGTAAAGAGAAAGGAGAGTCTTTCAATGTTTATTATGCTAATAGCCGTAGTGCTAGGAATAAGATGGACGAGTTGAGATTAGTTGCTAGTGCAAGTAACATTGATGTATTTGCCTTAACTGAGACGTGGTTTAATTCAAAAAGTCGGGACATGCCTGCGGAATGTCACATTCAGGGTTTTAAATTGTTCCAAGTAGATAGAAGTATCGGGAAGGGGGGTGGGGTGGCATTGTATGTCCGAGATCGCTTGAACTGTTGCATAAAAACGGGTATTAAGTCTGAAGTAACACATACAGAGTCTGTTTGGATAGAATTTTCAGAGGGGCATGAAAAACTGATTTTAGGAGTGATATACCGTCCCCCAAACTTAGATAGGGACCAAGGGAGAACTACTATGGGAGGAAATTGTTAAGGCCACAAGGCACGATAATGTAGTAATTCTAGGAGACTTTAACTTTAGTCATATTGATTGGAATTTCTTGACTGGGAATTTAGAATCATACGACTTCTTAGAAGTAGTTCAGGATTGTTTTTTTGAAGCAGTTTGTGACAGAACCTACAAGGGGAAATAACCTGCTTGACTTAGTTCTGGCAAACAATGAATCCCTTGTTAATAATTTAGAAATTTCAGAGGAACTGGGTTGTTAGCGACCACAAATCAATTACATTTAGCATTGAATGGAAGTACGATAGTAGCGATAACTCAGTAACAATCCCAGATTTTCGCTTAGCAGATTACGATGGGCTTAGAGAACACTTATCATCTGTTGACTGGGGTAACGAAGAGAGCTATCAATATGACAGTTTTCTGAACACTATACATGCTGCTCAAAGAACGTTTATCCCATATAAAGAAATTAGATCAAATAGAAATGACCCAAAATGGATGAATAATAGGCTCAAATATCTACTAGGGCATAAGAAAGGAATTTATAGGCATATCAAAAGAGGTGAGGGTCATCTTATGAATCAGTATATTGACATTAAGAGGGACATTAAAAAGGGGATAAGAAAAGCTAAAAGGGACTATGAAATTAAAGTTGCTGGGGATTCTAAAACTAACCCCAAGAGTTTTTTCCAGGTCTATAGGACAAAAGTTAGAGATAAGATAGGTCCCCTTAAAAATAACTATGGGCATCTTACTGACAAAGAGAATGAAATGTGCTCGATTTTAAATAATTATTTTCTCTCAGTTTTTACACAGGAAGACACTAACAATATTCCAGTAATTATTTTTTATAGTGGGCTAGAAGAAGGTAAATTATGTAACATCACAGTCACTAGTGAGATGGTTGTGAAGCAGATAGACAGACTGAAGCAAAATAAGTCGCCGGGTCCTGATAAGGTTTTTTTCAAGGGTTCTTAAGGAATGCAAAATGGAACTCTGTGAACCATTAACTAATCTTTTTAATTTATCTCTTCAAACAGGTGTAGTGTCTGATATGTGGAAGATGGCTAATATAATTCCTATTTTTAAAACAGGGGACAAGTCGTTACCGTCAAATTACCGCCCAATAAGCCTGACCTCAATTGTAGGCAAATTACTAGAGTCAATTATAGCTGAGATTATAAGAAGCCATCTCGATAAGCATAGCTTGATTAATGATACTCAGCATGGATTCACAAGAGGCCGGTCTTGTCTAACTAATTTATTAACTTTCTTCAGTAAAGCTTTTGAGGCTGTTGACCACGATAAAGAATTTGATATTATTTACTTAGATTTTAGTAAGGCTTTTGATAGAGTTCCGCACCATAGACTGTTAAAGAAAGTGGCAGCTCATGGCATTGGGGGAAAAGTGCTCTCGTGGATCGAGTCATGGCTCACAGACAGGAAGCAGAGAGTGTCCATAAATGGGGTTAAATCCGAGTGGAGATCTGTAACAAGTGACATTCCACAGGGATCAGTCTTGGGCCCGTTGTTGTTTATAATATATATCAATGATCTTGATGAGGGAATTACTAGTGACATGAGCAAATTCGCCGATGACACAAAGATAGGTAGGATAATTGATTCAAACGTAGATGTTAGGGAACTTCAGGAGGATTTAAACAAACTCTATTCTTGGTCAGAAAAGTGGCAGATGCAGTTCAATGTAGATAAATGCAAGGTTCTGAAGCTCGGGAGTGCCCATAACCCTAGTACTTATAAGTTAAATGATGTAGAACTTAGCCATACAGATTGCAAAAAGGACTTGGGGGTTATGGTGAGTAGCAACCTTAAACCAAGACAGCAGTGCCTAAGCATACGTAATAAGGCAAATAGATTACTGGGATTTATATCAAGAAGTGTAAGCAACAGAAGTCCAGAGGTCATACTGCAGCTTTATACATCATTAGTAAGGCCTCACCTAGATTATGCAGCTCAGTTCTGGTCTCCATATTACAGAATGGACATAAATTCGTTAGAAAACATTCAGCGTAGGATGACTAAATTAACACATAGCATTAGAAATCTTCCTTATGAAGAAAGATTGTTAGACGAAGAATGAGGGGAGACCTGATCGAAGTG